AACTCTGTCTCAAAAAACCAAAAAAAAAAAAAAAATTCTGAGCTTTTGAACAAGATTCTTCTCCTCCTTCTATTCTAGGCTTCTTAGGTTTCGTCTTTCCAAAGTGCGCCAGATTTGCTGGATGTTTTAGGTCAGGAATTTTTTAGATTTAACATTTTCTTTGACTAATGTATCAATTTCTTTTATCATATCTTCTATGCCTGAGATTCTCTCTTCTACCTCTTGTAGTTGGTTGGTGATGCTTGCGTCTGTAGTTCCTATTTGCTTACCTAGATTTTTCAACTCTAGGGTTCCCTCAGTTTGTGTTTTCTTTATTGTTCTATTCCCATTTTCAGGTTTTGAACAGTTTTATTTATTTCCTTCTCCTGTTTGTTTATTTTTTTGGCTTTCTTAGTTTTCTTTAAGGAATTTATTCATTTCTTCCCATTGTTTGTTTGTGTTTTCCTGAATTTTTAAGGGATTTATTCATTTTCTCTTTAAGGACCTCTTTCATCATTATCAAGTTGGTTTTAAGTTCATTTTCTTATGCTTCAACTGTGTTGGAATATTCAGTTCTTGTTGTTGTAGGATAGCTGGGCTCTGGTGGGGCTATACTGCCTTGGATGTTGTTGATTGTGCTCTTACACTGACATCTAGGCATCTGGGTTTGGGATGAATATAGGTCTAGGTGCTGATTTTTGAGTTTGTCTTTATTGAATGGGTATTTTGTTCCTTGGTCTCTCTTTCCTCTTTGGTCTTCTGATTTTTGTGGTCTGTATTTCTGGCAGCCAGTGTGATGCACCTGATCAGCAGGTATCTGCCTGTGTAGGGGCTGGGGCATGGCAGTGGAAGTAGGTGGGAAGAAGTGTCAGTGGCTTGGGTTTTTCAGCTCTGAACTGAGTGCGTGGGAGGGTTCTAAGGGCAGGTGGGCCTCTTATCTGTTCTCTATTTTGTCTGCTATTTATACTTCATTTTTATTAATATCAGTGGTAACCTAATAAAATATGGTAACTGATTTTATACAAGAGGCTGTATTAAAACACCTTTAGTGATTTTAACCAGATAATCATTAATAAAACAAGCTACCTTTATATGTTATGGGTTTAAAACTTGGAAATTTCAGAGATCATTGAAAAATAATTATTTGTCCTCACCAGCTCTACTTCATAACCCAAAGATCCCAAATAACTGCCAGGCTTTTAATTCATTCTGTCCATTGCATGGGGTAAAGAATGTTATCTTTTTAATAAAGAAAGACTTCAGTTGCATGATAGCATGGCCCTGTGTAGGGGGAAAAGTACTTTTGCTATTGTATTCTGTCTGAACACACAACACAGAACAGGAATGTTGACTGGAATGCGTGGTCTCTTGCCACACCAAATAGTTCTTCAATTGTTAGAAGACCCAGATTGTGGTGCTACAACTTAACTCAATTAAGACCCATATATCTTTAGTTAGAATCATAAGACACAGATAAGGGCTCAGTCCCACAAGACTGCCCTCCCCCTAGGGATCAATCACAAACCCTGACTAATGACTTATGAACAGGGAGCTCTTGGGATTCACTCCTTGTGTCCAGTGTTTTCACTGTTGTCATGCTTCTTTGTTTGTTATTTTTTGTTTTGTTTTGGTTTGGTTTGGGGGTTTTGTTTGGTTTTGGTTTTGCTTTTTTGGTTTGTTTGTTTTTTTTTTGTTTTTGTTTTTGTTTTTTTGAGTGGCTCAGAGAAATTGGGAAAGGATTGTAAGTTATATTGCAAGGGCACAGATGAACAGCCACATGAGAAGGCTTGCAGGGAAAGATATTTTTAAAGGGACACAGAACCCCAGTGCCTCTCTGCCACACCTCCTTCCAAAAGCTTCATATAGTCAGCAGTTGGAAGCTCTGTGAACCTAACCTTTAGGGGTTTTATTGAGACTTTATTTTGTAAACATGATGGATTATGTCATTGTCCTTTGGTGAACAGCTCAACTTCAGCCTTTCTCCCCTTCTCAGAGGTCAGGGGTGGCTGGACATTCTAACCCTAAAATCACATGATTACCTTTCCCCTCTTCTGAAGCTATGCAAGAATCCTCAGTCATAAGTTTTCTTATTAGTATCCAAAAAGACACTTTGGCTTTGGCCACACAAAGAGTTTTAGGAGCTCTGTGCCAGGAGTTGATTTGCTATCAGAATATCAAATACGTATTTCTCAGCATAAATCACATTATAACTGGGGCCATAAAAGTGATGATGCATTTTGACACTGTGCATGACTTTTCAACAAAAACTCTTTTTTTAGGTCTGTTGTGGAATTAAATACTAAGAAAATGGAAAATAGTAAGTCTAATATTTACTTAGTACATTATGCATTAAGAACATTGAGAATTAAAGGAAGATTTTGACCAATGGGTTTGATACACATGAGCCAACATCTTTTCTTTGCCTCAGTGGATTACTGTCTTTCTAATGAAGTTTGGATCCATTTCTAAAACTTAATTCTTTGTGGCCTCATTGTCATGGCATATCTCTGAGAGTAATCTCAGATAAAGTCCCTTACCAGCATCACGTCTTCTGGATCACTTCTGTGATGTGTGTTACTTTGCCCTCATGAAGAGCCTCTAACAGCCCATCTAAGGTTCTCTAATGGTGTCAACAGTCCTGGGTCAATTATTTCTCCTATAGTTCTACTTGTGTTCTATTCAAATGTTTCAGAGTTATTTTCACCATACACCAGAAGTTTCTGTTGTACTATACTCATGTTTGGGAATGTATATTATGCATATGTCACTACATTTGTAGTGCAAGCCCATATGCTCATACGAAGACCAGGTCAGCTCTGAGTGTCCTTCTTCAGAAGCTGTGCACCATGTTTTTGGAAGCAGGGCCCCTTAATTATCTATAGCTCACCAACGAGGCTAGATTGGTTGGCCATCAGACTTGAGGTGTCCTCCTGTTTCTGCACCACCAGTGCCAGGATTACCAGTGTGCCCCACAATTCCTACTTTTTGATGTGGGTGCCAGGAATTTAACTCAAACCCTCATGCTTGAATGACAAGCAGTTTTCAAACTGAGCCGTCTTCACAGCCCTAGTAGTAGTGTTTTAACAATCAAATAATTTTGCCCAAGTGTCTGCCTACTGCTGCCAGACAAGAAACCAATAGAACCATCTGTTTTGCTATCTATGTGTGAACTTACCACAAAGGCACATGGCTGGTCACAGTGGGACCTCAAAAGTGATGCCTAGTCATCAATCCTGACACTGATCATTATTCACATTGTGATTTTTAGATGGAAGAAACTGTTATGCCCCATGCAGTTAAAAGCAAGTTGCTGAGATTTGAAAGGTGTTGTTGAGGGTCTAGTGTTGTCTCCTGAAGCATGATAGCTTTATAACAAAAACCCTCAAATCGATGGGTGCCTTACTGCCACTCAAAACTGACCTCTGAACACATATATGAAAGAAAGAAATGAGGGTCTCAGTTTACTCTTTAAATTGTTTAACATTGCCTTTAAGTCAGCTAAATACACTGCTGAATTTTTTTCTTTAAAAAAAAAAAACTATAACTCTGTGACTATTTTCTGAGAATATGGCCCCAGGTCCTTGACAGAAACCTTTGGTTCTTGTAAGGCTCATATACCTGTAGGGTCGGGGGCCGTGATGACAATGAACAGAAAGACACCAGCTATCTTCTGAACTCTGGACTGGGTTTGGCTTCCAAACTATACTCAGACTATTAAGCACACTCTACCACTCCTGCCATGCAAGTCTTGGGGACCCACTCTCACTGCCTACTTTGTCTGTGACTTTTCATCCTCAGAGTACAATTTATTCATTTCTTTCCTAGTGTGTCCCTTTGCCTGGGAGGTAAATGAAACAGCTTTGCCTTTAGGGCTATGGTGATCTTTGGACTCTCGCAATCATGCATCTAGTAAAGGATAGAACTGGGACACAAATCTGACTGATTTCAGCTCTGTGCTTCATGTTCTTGCTGGCTAAGTGATAGAAGTGAGGCTCACTGAAGCTAGTGAGTCTTAGTGTGTAAAAGAGGAAGCCAATTCCTCAACCTTACTCCAACTAGTTCATCTTTCCCTCTGCAATGATGGCCTCCTCACCCTTGGAAACCCTTCCTTCTAGCGGTGCGTTAAATATCAGTGGCAGCTTCAGTATTGTTATCACGCTGGACCAGGCCCTCTTTATCTCCAATCTATGACAAAAAGTGATAGAATCATCTTGTTTCCTCATGATAATTTCATAGTGCATTCCCACAATTCCTTTCTAAGGACAGGCTGATATGACTAAGTGTGCAGTGCTGCGGACTGGAACAAACTGAAGAGCTGTGCCCATTTGAAGACAATGTCTCTTATTCCATTTCAAATGCTGATCATGGAAAGGAAACAGCCCATTATTTCAAGAGGCACTGAAATCTAAGTCATTGTGTAAAACTTGGTATATTTTATAATACTGTGTAATTCAAATGGCAGATACTTCCATGTTGGACTTGTCCTGCCTGACAGGTGGGATGATGGAGTCCAACAAGCTGTATTGTCATTGCTTCAGCCCCAGATTTCCTGCTTTGTGTGACTGGGAGAACATTCCTTAGCCTCTGTAAGCCTCAATTTCCTCATCTGCAAGGTGAATTTTAAAGGTAGATATCGTATACAGTTGTTGTGGGGGGGCTATTACTGAGGATCTAACCTCTAAGGTGCTTAGTAAAATCTAGAGCAGTTTACCCCTCATTCTATCTTGTCCTCTGGCCCTCCAATTACAGGTGCTCACTCCAAATCTCCTCCTGTCAATGACATCTAAGTTGTAAACAAACCATCTTTTGTGTTCTCTCAAGTGGTTCAGATAAACGACAAATGCAGCCATGCATGTGATGGTATTTGATCCATTTCACTGTATTTGCTAACTAGATTGACTTATATAGTACTGTCCCATCCTAGTTTAATAATACTTGGTGAATTTGGACATGTGGCTTTTTCAAAACTTTTTCATGTAACCTTTTAGAATATCTAAAACTACTGTGTTTTATCTTCTCAGCTTATCTTTATTAGAAGAATTTGACTGCAGCTGCAATGAGCTGGAATCCCTTCCTTCCACCATTGGCTACCTGCACAGCCTGCGAACCTTAGCAGTTGATGAGAATTTCCTACCAGAGCTGCCCAGAGAAGTGAGAAGCAAGCTTGTTTCTATCAATTAACTTTCAATGACTCTGCTTTGAAATGAAATCCTAACAGTGCAATCGCAGGGTGGATTATAAGTTGAACTGTGAAAATATGTAGGCATTGCCCATTTATATAGATATATACTAATTTCTTTTTTGAGTGGTAAACTCCATACAATGCATTGACTAAATTTTTCATGTAAAGAATAGTAAAAATATGTTAATCAGTGCTAAGGGATGTGATTTCAAATCATTTATTTTGCTTTTAAGAATAGCTATACACAGCACTTAAGATAATTGCATTTCCACTTCTGAAGTAAAAGAATGGGTTTTACTATAAATATGTCTGTGAGGCTTGATGTTTCTTATAACATTATTTTAGTTTCTGGATACATGAAGATGTAGCTGAAAGTTTTCCTGTGTCCTGCCTGGCCTGCAGTCAGGACAAAGCTCTCTCACCCATCGGTCCTGCAGCCGCTTGGACTCAAATAAACACACACAGGCTAATATTATTTTTAAATTATGGCCATGGCAGGTTTCTTGTTTGTAGATGTAACCAATGGTCTTATTAAATAAGAAACACAGAGTCGATTCAGAGAAGAAAGCCAAGAGGTCAGAGCTAAGAGCCTCACCCTTCCTGATTCAGGGATCCTCTTCAGCCAAGAGAGCTCTCCAAAAAAAGGGGGACCTACTTCCTGTGTGTGTCTTTATATAGTCTAGCTGTTCTGCCTTCTCATTGGTTGTAAACCCAAACATGTGACTGCCTCGTCACTGCCTGAATGTACCGCCCTCCAGGTCCTTAAAGGCGTGCGCCACCGCCACCACGCACTTGCTATGGCTCTGATAGCTCTGACCCCCAGGCAACTTTATTTATTAACATACAATTAAAATCACATTTCAGTACAAGTAAAATACCACCACACTTGTTCTCTAGTTTTTATATCTTAAATGAACTCATTTCTATAAATCTACACTTTGCCTCGTGGTTTGTGGCTTACCTGTACTTTTACATCTTGCTTCTCATGGCCGTGGCGGGCAGCGGCTCCTCTGCTCTGTCTTTCTCCTTCCTCTCGATCTGTGGATTTTCTGCCTACCTCTAAGCTGCCTTGCCATAGGCAAAACAGCTTTATTTGTCAACCAATCAGAGCAACATTTTTTCACAGCATACAGAAAGACATTCCCCCATCATGAAGATATTCTCTTTTATTTTTATCTCTAAACTGGATTTTATTTATTAATGTCCAGAAAAAATGTAAAGTGTATTTTCAATCTAAAGCTTTCTACTAAAAATTTCCACAATAATAGAATAGTAATAAATATACCATTATTTTAGAGTCAAAAATTAATAAAAATGGCAAGTACCATGTAATGTGACATAAATCAGGTTTGCTTAAGGAACTGTCAAAAGTACTGCTAAGGCCAGGCAGTGGTGATGCATGCCTTTAATCCTAGCACTCAGGAGGCAGAGGCAGGCAGATCTCTGTGAGTTCAAGGCCAGCCTGGTCTACAGAGTAACTTCTAGGACAGCCAGAACTGCTTCTCACAGAGAAACCTTGTCTTGAAAACTCAAAAAAAAAAAAAGTAATAAACAGTACTGCTGAATATGTGTGCTGCCCTGCTTTAAGCACCGCTATATTAATAATAATGTAAAAAAATAATATGATTTGTGAAAACAACAGTGCTGCCAAGCATTTAAACATTTACATTATTTAAAAAATTATTCTTAATATTTGAAAGAATATGAAATATGTGCTACTGTCATATCTAAAAGCATACATCACTGTAAAGAGCAAGATTATAAAAGTGTAAGTCATAAATACACTACACTACATGTGTCAAGAGACATTAAAATGGTAAAGGAATTTCTAGGGTAAGTTTGGTGGCACACTCCTACTACCTCAGTGCTCAGGAGGATCACCTCAAGTTTAAGGCCAGCCTGACTAGTATTGAGTCTTGGGTTAGCCTGGATTACAATGTGAGACACTGTCTCAAAAAAGGAGAAAGAACCAGTGGCCTAAATTGTTTTATATACTAGAGAAACTAATATGCAATAACCATATTTTGTGGTTTCTTTCCAAAATATACTTTTGTTTATTCTTCAAGAATGACAATAGGCAGCCCAACATTGTAAACCCACTTCCTTTTGCCACCTACAGATTGGCAGCTGTAAGAATGTCACCGTTATGTCTCTACGCTCCAATAAACTAGAATTTCTTCCTGAAGAAATTGGGCAGATGCAGAGGCTGCGAGTCTTAAATCTGAGTGATAACAGGTATGTAAATAATTTTATAAAAGTAAATTATGGAACCAGACATGGCCATGCACATCTTTAATCCCAGAAGCCAGCCTGGTCTACATAGTGACAGGTAAGAATATCACTAACCAGCTCTGAAACAAAGCCCAGGTTAGTCCATTGCAGCAAGGATGGATAATATTTAGTCACATTCAGAGTAAGAGGGAGCAGAAAAAAAAAGGATGAGCCCTCTTCTTATGATGTGTTATATTAGTAGGTGCTAGAAACAAAAATGAAACTACAATTTGCCTTTTTTCCCCATCTTTTCTATTAAAACAACTGTCCTCATAGGAACGGAAAGAGTAGATACTGGTGGCCAATGCTTCTGTCTTGACACAGTGACTACAGAGCAGAGTGCATGAACCCTGTCACTGCAGTTTCTATCAGATGAATGACAGCATGAGTCACTCAGACCTTGCACTGGCGTCATCAGAGACCAGAGTTTACGAAGTCATAAAGAATACTCACAAAGGTTTCCTAATAAGCACAAAAGTTTTCATTTGTTTTTCAGTTTCCTTTAGAAAAAGTAATGCCAATCTAAAAAAAACAAAAACAAAAACAAACAAACAAAAAACACTGTCTTTGTAGTTAAGCAGTGTTCCCACATAAGAAAATAAAGTGCTTTATTAGAAGGTTTGGGGTTATTTTATTCATAAACCAAAGTGGCAATGTGACAGCAATGCTTTATGCATTGAGACCCCATCACGTCCTCCTCTGGTTCGGTGACAGACTGCCAGAAGAGGCAATGCCTTGACTGTCACCTCTGAGAAGGCCTTGGTTAGATCTTTAAATAAGTTCTTGTAAACTGGATGAGGAAGTGTGATCATGGAAACTCCACAGAGACGTGGGCTTCTACTGGCTTCAGTGAAATCACCATAGAAAGATGAATTCTAATAACACCCAGGGGAAGCATCACAAAATTTGTTATTTAAGTGAGGCTGAGTGCTTGTCAACCTGGTAAGAGGATCTTCTTGACAAGCTACAGAAGTCTCTCCTAAATACTCATTTTCCCAAAACATTCTGAATGATGATATGGAAAATAAGCTAACTAAACATCACAAATAACCCATAACAGAAGTTTTGATGTGTTGATGGTCCTTACTAAGCAAATCTAGCAGACTTCAGCATTTACCATGGGTCAGACACATTTATGGAAGCTGAGGAAATATATGAACAAGACATCAGAGACTCACAAAGTCAAAAGTTTAAAATATCTCATCAGAGAAAAAGAATCATACACATCCTGTAGTACAGTAACTACAACATAGCCAAATGAATAGTCCATCAGTGAATCAAGCTGGGGGAGACAATACATAGTGAAATCTGAGGCCAAAGCTAATATTGCCACAGAGAACGAACTGCTTACAGGACGGTAAGTGAGAAGTGCTATCATAAGTAGTGAACCATTGCAATTTTGTGTTTGAAATAATCAACTGGCAGAGTCTGGCACTGTAGCTAGGAACAGTGACTGTTTTGCTCTGTCAGCTACAAGGTTATGCCTTAGCCAAGGCCCTGCTCATCCATCAGAGATCACTGGAGGAGTACAAAGCAACAAGGCCCCTGCTCTCCATCACATTCTTCTTTATGTACAGCACATTAGGACTACATCAAGATGACTCCTCAGGGACATGGATGAACATGACATGAATTTTAGAGGAGTTTCACTGACATAGCACTCAGTGGTAGCTTTTTATTTAACTGTGTATAATATCAAAAATGCTAACCGACCCCATAAATCTTACTTTATACTTTCTGTCATAAGTGAATTTAAACAACTTGTATGGGTATGCCAAGAAAGAAACATGATATAAGTCAATACCTGCTTTGTTTGTGTTCTTATTTATGTTTTACAAATATTAATTAGTTCATAAGATTTAGGTAGTCTCCCTAAGAACTCTACATATACCCTTAACATTTACACTGGTGGTCAACCTCTTTTCATATTTACTAAATTATTTGAAAGTGCCTGATTAATTTTGGACATAAATTAAGTCCTTATTAATCATTATAACATTTTGCACTTCCTTTCTAAAAGTGCATTTTTCAGGTAGCTAATAAGATTCCAATATATAAAAGACTTACAGAAATTTTCATTACAAGTTATGTGTAGAATGTATGTTCAGAGATAAGCCTGCTGAGGTTGTCATTGTGAAGCTCGGAGGGTGATGGTAACCAGGGTGCCTAGAATGTGCAGATCACACACTGGCTCAAAAACATCAAGAGCACTCTGAGGCAGGCATTCGTCAGTTTGGATTTCCAAAGGCAGAAGCCATATTTTTACTGAATGCTACAGCTGAGGCCAAACTTCACATGTCTCCAAAACACTATTTTAAAGATTCCTTCTTGTAATGCCTACTGTGCAATGTGCAAGGGATGAAAGAAGAAAACACAATTTCTGGAGATTAGCATCACTTTGGAAACTATGAAGTGATTTAGATGTAAGACATCATGGCCCTTGTCCTTTTGGAAACTACAGTTTTTTGTTTTTTTTTTTTTTTTTTTTGGTTTTTCAAGACAGGGTTTCTCTGTGTAGCTTTGCGCCTTTCCTGGAACTCACTTGGTAGCCCAGGCTGGCCTCGAACTCACAGCGATCCACCTGGCTCTGCCTCCCGAGTGCTGGGATTAAAGGCGTGCGCCACCACCGCCCGGCGGAAACTACAGTTTTATGAGGATATCAAATAATAAACAAATAACCACAAAAATAGTCACATATAAAAGCTGTGAAATATTCTGTGCAGGCAAGTGCAAAGCACTCTGAGACTAGACTGGGTGAAGGAACTTAGGTGGGATCCAGGAAAACCTTTTATATGAGAAAATGGGATTTAAGCACTGAAGAACTGTGGGATTTAATAAAGTGAAGCATAGGAGGAAGAATATTCCAGAAGGGGCCAAGCTGAAATTTCTCCTGGGTTGTTAGAGCATCATTGTACACTCCAGCTATGAGGAAAAGGGGATCAATGCTGTGATGTGAGAACAGATTTAGGGGTTTTAAGATTTTATTTTTATTTTTTATTTATGTATGTGTGTGTGTATCAGTGGGAGCAGCCTTGGGGTACATACTGGGGTTTTAATAGTGTGTGTGTGTGTGTGTGTGTGTGTGTGTGTGTGTGTGTGTGTGTGTGTGTGAAATGTGTGAAGATCTACTGAAGTTGGAGTTAAAAGCAGTTGTGAGCTGCCTGGTGTGAGGGCTGTGAACTGAACTCATGTCCTAGGAAGAGCAACAAGATCTCTTAACTGCCATCTGACTAGTACTGGGATGCACACTGTAGATCCTGACCATGGGTACTAGCAGGATTTTTATTTTATTTAAATACTACGGGAAGCATTCAAAAGATTAGAAAGATTTTTGTTGTTTTGGGCCTGGGAGAGGGCTCAACAGATAAAGGCACTTGCCTCCAATCCTGATGACCTGTTTGATCCCCAGGACCTACATGGTGGAAGGAGAGAAAAAACTTCCAGAATTATTCTCTGACTTCCACATGCTCACATGCACAGCAACACTGCACACACACACACACACACACACACACACACACACACACACACACACTAACAAATAAGAAAGGGAGATTTTCATTCTTTTAAGATTGTCTAGGCATTCAAGAGAAAGGATTGACGAGAGCAATGAATCAACACAGCAGTGTGTGTAAACGTCTTGGAGTGAGCTTTGCTATCTGTAGCCATGCTATGAGACATCTCTTGTCTCTGCAGGTTGAAGAATTTACCCTTCTCATTCACCAAACTCAAAGAGCTTGCAGCATTGTGGCTTTCTGACAATCAGGTAAAAAACTTTTATGCTCTGAGTTATCATGTTCCTAAGATGAAGTGTAATTGAAACTTTAGGTTACTGAGTCCCAGTAGATAGACTTGACAAATATTATAAAATATAGATTCTTATGCTTGGATGAGGTTTTTTGCACAAAAGTTGTATCACACACTGTGTAGGTGAAACAGTGCCATGGTCTCCATGCTCGTCAAATACCTCTGTTCCATACCTACTTCATTGTCAGAGATCCAACACATAAATGATGATTTGTATGGCTTTTCAGCTCCTGGCAGTACACACATCCTTAGAGGACACACTTTAATTATAGCTCTGAAGGTAAAAACTGAAAAGCCATTACCACAATCCCCACAACGGGGAATTACAAGCCGCTATCTCCCTTTTTCCTCACTGTTTTTAATTATGATCAACTTAATTCTAAAACTTTATTCAATATCTTTGCTGATATAGTGATAGCTACCTTCAGTATTTTTGTGGTTATCTTGATATTTTTATATACTCATGAAAATAAATTATAATGGAATCAGGGGTTGCATGTTAATGAATAATTTTATTAACTGGAAAATAACAGGAAACAGATACACATGCTTTGCCTCAAAAGCTTATGTGGGTCATTTCAGCAGAATTTACTACTAATCATTTTTCTTGTGTTCCTAAATCTTTGAAACCCCTACCCCAAAATATGAATGGTCATATAAAAACAATGCACCTTCAGTTCAATATATCAATATTCCCTGGCCATTAAGTTTCTATTTCTAGTTACTTGGGTACTTTTATTACAAATTAAAAATGACTCCTACAAATTTAAGGTACAAGCATAAGAGTGTTAGTGTTTCTTCAGGTAATCGTGGCCCTTGCTTCCATCTGCTGGTCAAAAGTTGGATTGCCATTCAAGCTCCTATGGACACCTCCATAGCGCTGCTGTATCCTTACAGACGGTCATTTCCAGAGTCTGTAAATTCTGCTGCTGAGGTGGCAGCCTTACATTGTAAAAATTTCTTAACATCACAACTATTATCCTGGTGGAAGAATATCCAGAAAAGTTACTGCACCATTTAACTTGAATTGTGGCAATGTTTCTAGACAGCTTCATGAAACCCTTGCTTCTTCCCTATTAATAAATGATATTTACACTATTCTTATGAAAATAATACCTGAGTTCTAAAAGCCTTCAAAAATAGTATTTCTAATATCAAATTGATGATGGACAATAAAATACAGCAAAAATATCAGATATGTACACAGATTTTATTCATATGTGGGCTGTGCCTTGTTCAGTGTGAGCAGTGCAGGCACCACATGTCTGTCTAGACCACAACTTGTGAGAAGAAATGCATGTCCAGGACTACACCACTCACTCACTCTTGAAGTTGAACACACTCTTGCCTCCTCAAGATTAGAACTGAAGTGCACAGTGAAGTAGGTTTTGTAAGTTTTTTAAGAGTATACTAAAGAAGAACAAACATTACAAAAACCTTGAAATCTGGAAAGACTCTCAGCAATATTCATGGCATGTCATCTTATCCATTCATCTCTCAGAGGTCAGACTACTAGCTATTTCCTTATGTAAAATTTGACTAATTTGTTTATCTAACTGGTGCTTGTTGCTTCCAGTCCAAGGCCCTTATCCCTCTACAAACAGAAGCCCACCCAGAAACCAAGCAAAGGGTACTGACCAACTACATGTTTCCCCAGCAACCCCGTGGTGATGAAGGTAGGTTGTCAGCAAATGCATTCTTTAATCTTTAATGGTGTTGTAGATAAAAATAATTTTTTAATTCTAATCTCTGTCCAGAAATCATGATTCACAGGTGGTAAAAGAAAACTCCATAGCATATCATGTGGGAGTTTGAGTCTCAGTTCTGTAATATTTTAAGTAAGGTTCCAAAAGCAAGGCTCCTCCAGGAGATAGCTCATTTTGCAAAGTGCTTGCCATGCAAACATGAGAACCTGAGTTCAGTCCCCAACATCAATGTAAAAATCCCAGTATGGGGACACATAACCTGTAATCCCAGTGCTGGGGAGCAGAGACAGGGGCATGCCTTGTGCTTGCTGTTCAGCCAGCATAGCCTAATTGGTAAGCCTTAGTTCCAAATGAGAGATCCTTTCTCAAAAATTAAGGTAGAGATCAAATGAAGAAGACACCTAACGTTAATCTCTGGCCTTCACTTGCATGTGCACACACATGTAACCAAACACACATGAACATACAGGTGTAAACATTCACACACCCACCACCACCACCACCACCACCCCAAAGAGAAACGTCTTCCTCCTTATAGCTTACATGAGAATAATGTAAACACTCTAGAGTGACTTCTTCTGTAAGGGTTAGACTCCAGGGTGTGGGACCTGGTCATCAAATGCAACTGGCAGCAAAAAAAAAGAGGATTCAGGGCCCAAGAAGGACTGGCTGGAGAGGGTCTTCTCTTGGGCTCTTGTTACACAGCATATTTTAAAGATCAGGACAGTAATCTTGGACCACCACATGTGAGTTAGTCATAGGACTTGACCTACAATAATGATGTTTTCATCTTTCCATTGAGATTCCCTAAGCAATGTCAGCAACAATGATTAAAAAAACACTTTTTAAAAACCTAAACCTGTTACAATAAAGCTTCTAGCCTTTGATTGATTGCACTATTATACCAAAAAGGGTTGCCTTTTCCTGTTTAAAACAGCACTGGCTGACATGTGTTCTCTACTGTCACACAGAATCATGGTGGTTCTTATGACAACAAACCCACTCTAACACAGTCACAGATAAACCCACCCTGTCTGAGACCGGCTTGAGAAATGAACCATTTGCTATGTATTCCTCCTTTTCAAAAATAATAATAGATGGCTTTAGCCTTTGACTTGCAGATGTAAATGAGCCACTGGGGAATACATAAGGATACTTTTATTCAAATTTTGACTTGCATAAATAGAAAAGGGGAAGATTGTTTTGAAATATAATTCTCACATATGAATAAATTGATCTTTTGGGTTTATGCAAGAAAGGCCACCACATTTTTGTATCATAAAGAACCAAGTAAGGACTGTTCTATTAACCTGAATTTATTTTCTCTTCTCCACAACATCTCTGGGTTTGAAAATAACATAAAGAAAAGATGAAAAGTAACCCAGATCCACAAGCCATCCCTGAACTCTAGTGTGTCACCTAAACCTATAAGATGAATTGCTAAATGGCCTTATTAATAAAAAACCTGGAGCCAGATACTGGGGTGAAAGCCGAGAGATCAGAGGACCAGAACAAGCCACAGCCACAAGTTCTTACCCTAGGAAATCCTACCTCCTGTATACTCACACCTCTATGCCTTTCTGTCCCTGCCCTCTCACTTCCTCTCTCCACCCAGCTACATCACTCCCTCTTTCTGCCCAGCTCTATCACTTCCTGTCTGTCTGTACAGACCTCCAGACCTCTATGGTTAACTAGTTCTGGGAATAAAGGTGTGTACCACCATGCCTGGCTCTGTTCCCAGTGTGGCCTTGAACTCACAGAGATCCAGACAGATCTCTGCCTCCTGAATACTAGGATTAAAGGGCGTATGCTACCACTGCCTGACCTCTATGTTTACTATAGTGGCTGGCTTTTTTCTCTGATCCTTAGATAAGCTTTATTGGGGTACACAAACAAAATATCACCACATAAACCCCTGGTCAGTTCCCAGTGTGAGGTCAGCAGTCATGTGACCTGAGATGTGAAAGTGTTTGCCTTTGCTTTTTTGAATTTTCTGTTTGGTTTTCTGTTGAGGATAGAAAATTTGCTGTAATAATTGAAAAATAATTCTTGAACTTCAACCCAGTCAGCCAACTTCTGTTTGTTGAAAAAAAGATAATAAATGAATTTTAAGAATCCAGTAAGACAGAGAAATATGTGACAGAGGAAAACTCTTTGGAAAAGGACCTACCCTCAACTGAGCTCTTACTATTGAGTATTCATGCAGCTTTCACTATTACTTTACAAAGGAAACTTTACCATTAGATACATTTTGATGTAAATTAGAGATTTATAAATCATATTCCCTGTTTATTTGAGGCACATTTAAATGAATTGAAGCCATGGTGTTAAAACTGAATTCTCTATGTGTTCTCTGTCTTAAAAATGAGGTTACTCCAATCACGTACACCTCCCACTTGCATACAAAGAACCAACAAGAACATCAGATTACTGGGTGATTTGCTGAAAAATCATTGCTGTGTAATATCTTGCTTGGTTTCAATGTGATGCAGGCTCTGTAGTCACCCCAACATGGGGTAGGACATAGGACCTGAGAGACCTGGGGCAGATATGACAGCTCTGCCCACTTCTTCATAACAAAGATGATGCCAATGTGTCTCCTCCACTGCTGTGAGGCTTAGAGACTGGAATGCTCCATCCAAGTCTCCAGCTGTTACTGTTAGCCCAGGGGAGCCCATTCCTAGGCTAGGAAACTTCCTGATCCTCATGACTAACAGTAAAATGCACAAGCCATAAGAAACACTAAGAGGAATGTTCTGCTTTCCACTTCCTGTCCTTCCTGCCCTCTCCTTCCTTTTCCTCAATATCTTTTCCCGGCCCTTTTAAATGTATTTATTGTATTCATTGGTGGTGCTTGCTGTCTCTTTTCGCATAATATATTAAACTTTATTAAATCCTTCATGTATATAAAAGAAAAGAAAAGCATTAATACTTTGGACTCCATAGATTTCCAGTCAGACAGCGACAGCTTCAACCCCACCCTGTGGGAAGAGCAGAGACAACAGCGCATGACTGTTGCCTTTGAATTTGAGGATAAAAAAGAAGATGACGAAAGTGCTGGGAAAGTTAAGGTGAACTTTTGGTCTTTGTTTCTCTTATTGTTCTGTCTGTCCATTGTTATTATTCAGACAGAGGAGGGATTCATTAAGTGACCTCTCTGGAAGGTCACAGTCATTTTCTATTCTCATGAAGATGCCCCAATCTAGAGGGCCAGTGTTCGGGCAGCATTGGTGTGATTCAGAATGAGACGAAAGTCCCAGTTCTGACTGAGCAAGTCTGATTTGCACTCCCTTCCACAATCCCCAGTATAACAACATGCGAGAGATTCAAGCTGAAGTGGGGAGAAAGTCTAGGTAATGAACCTCACCTAAGTCTTCTTTCTTCTGTAACACTCTGCAATAATCCTTTTGGTTACTGGGCCAGGCCCCATGCAGACAGTACCAGCCAAAATACACATTTGTAGAAGACAAGCTGATTGGCATGCTCCAGTGGCATTGCATCCCTGAAGTCTTCCACATGACTGGGGCATTTGAAAAGAACTTTTGTTTCTTTTAGTTTGAGTTTTAAAAGGAGGTGAGTGTCCAACAACAAGTGAAGATCTTTAGACAAAACAACTTCTTTATTTTAACTGTATTTTTAAGAAATCTTTTATTGTGACTAACCTGAATGAAGAAACAAGGTTAAACATTTAAACCTATATTGTTTCATAATTTAAATTTTTAAATATCAGAATTGGCTGAGATTTCATTAACACTTTATTTTTCATGTTATGTCATGATGGCATCTTGAATCTCTCATTAATTTTTGTATTATTTGTGCAATTTTTCAAAAACATCGTGAATACTAACAGCTTTCACTTGTAATGACTAATGATCTAAGAAACTATATGTGCATCTTATTAATAAATCAAGATTATGTGATGTGTTCCCTGTCCCCACCTTACCACATTTTCTAAATGTTACTTCTTAAACCATTATTCATGATGACTGTGTCATTATAGAAAACTCAAAATGGAATTATAAATCCAAAATGACATACATCCTTTAAAATTTTTTGGTTGAAGAAACATTTATGGATGATTGATTATTGCTGTCTTACGACCAAAGAGACATGTTTAAAAATTTGTGAATTCTTAGAAAATAATTATGCTAAATTTGATACAAACTTTTAAAACAATTCAGTTTCCCTCTTCAAGGATTTTGTGTTAAATCAAGATCCAATGGGCGATGCATTCTGTGTTGGACTCTTGATTCATTTTTATATTTCATTGAATTGTCAAAATAACTACATGCTTCCTCTTAAAAATACATAATCAAGGATCAAAAGAAAATACATTTAATATGTTCCATAGATGTGTTGATAAAATCATGAAATATAGAAATGGAAACAATAATTTAAAAACCCTGCTTGTGTGCTCTGTGATTAGTATGTCTATGCTCATAATGGGTTCCATATGCTTTAGAGTGGTTTGATTTTTCTCTGCATTTATTTACATTCACTTTATTTGTATTTTGGTAAAACAATGTTTTAACAAAATATCAAAATACTTGGCTTTGACTAATTTGACTGTTTCGATGCCATTGGCTATCAGACAAATTAGAGAAGAAACACTTGTAAGTACATCATCATGGGAAGATGATGAATGGAACACCCTGGGATCTTACCAGCTCATGCTCTTCTGGTTCATTACATGTACATTAAAATTAGAGCCATTTTAATTTTAATTGACCTGAAATTTAAAAAGGAACCATGGGCCTATGCCATCAGCTTTCAATGGGACAAGAATATAAAGTCCTGCTTGGAGTGTGTACAGTGAGTGTGAATGCTGAATTGTGTGAGGAGGTTGCCACCCATAGCTTCATGTTATGCTGTTTTATTACATGGAGTTAAAATTCATTGTTTTAAATGCATTGCCCAGAATGAGAAAAAAAAAAACTACCCAAGGGTAGAAAATGATCAAGTGAACGTGTTGCTGCAGTGCTCCTGTTTCTCCCAGAAAATGGAGATTCCTTCTCCCACAGGCTCTCTCCTGCCAAGCCCCCTGGGACAGGGGCCAGCGTGGGATTACTCTCCAACCTGCCAGGCTGTCTGGCGATTGCTGCACACCATGGGCCAGGTGTGATCAGCAGATCCAAGATATGCCCGTCCCCCAGAGTGACCCCCAGCTGGCATGGGGTTGTATAAGTGGCCTCCAGCAGGAGCGGAGCATGTGTGCTCCATTGCCAGTGGCAGCACAGTCCACCACTCTTCCCTCTCTAAGTGGCAGACAGGTAGGCCTAGGTGTTTGGGGTAGGAGAAGCCCGTTAGAGGCTCCCTTGGAACAGTGCTTTATGGGGTATGTGCTGCATGATTAGGGGTGAGAACTGTTGATCGCAGAGCAGCCTTGCCAGTGTCTGAATCCAATTTATCTTCATGATTATTGACACTGGCAAAGGGTGGGGAAGCCTGAGTCAGAGTGTGGGGACATCAATTGAAGGTGCCTTTCTGTGGGGTGTCTGGCATGGCTTTTAAGCTGGGGCTTTGCTTTTGTTTACTCTTCTTTGGTTCTTTCTTTAATGTGTGGGGGATACTGCCCGTTGTGCAGAATGCTGACCAGACTTTGGAAGTGATTGGAATTGTCCTGTGAATAAGCACGCTTCTCAGGGTCAGCTTGAGGGAGACTAGACAAACCTAACTTGAAAACACCAGAAGTTGAAATTGAGATTTGCTGGGAATGGACTCTGAGCAAACAGAGACTTCTGTTCAAAAGCAGCAACATCCCTTAATTTGAAGATTTAAATTATATGAATTCCTGTAAGAGAAGATGGGGTTGGGAGTCATGACAGAGAGGAATTCTCTTTCTCAGAGCTGGGTGTCTAAGAAGATAAATGATAGGAGGAAAAATATAAATGAACACTGTGTTTTTATAAACGTTGTCACCCACATGTAATGGACTAGATTCTCATTCTGTGTCTTATATTCTTTCCACAATATAAGACAAGCTGAGAATGCACCTTCCTGACTAAAACTGCCCTGTTTCCTTTTTTTTGTAAAATATCCCCATTAATTTCTAGAATAATATGATATTTAATAATCACTGCAAAACTCTATTGTTTCTCTTACTGGAATTTACAATCAAATTCAAATTTAATGATTATGTAAAGTATATTATATTATATATGCATATAATATAATATATGAGAAACAGTTCTGTCTGAATCCAAGACACCATTTCTGAATGCCCACACTGTTATAAGTAATTCTTTCTTTACTGGACTTTCGGGGTCTCTAATGCCTTGAAGCTGCTGTTTGCATTTGTTGTGTTTTATTTAGCTATTAAGAGTCTTGTGATGCATTTTACTTCCCAGAATTAAAAAAATTTATTTTAGTAAAAGTCTTGTATTCTAATACAATGTAAGTGTAACATGAGCAAATACTTTATAGTGAGTGACAAATTTAACACTATTATTAGAATGAATTTTGTAGATTTGCCCACCTCTATGTGTCAAAAATTCACTTATGTTTTATGTAATATTAGGATGGGGAATGTTTCTAGCATAGGTGTTTACAAATAAGGAAACTGCTTTTAGATATAAATGTCACTGAACTAGTAATATAACTCTTTATGACCATGTTGGCCCACTTCTGAAATACTGAAGGCAGGAACTGAGAAGGAAGGGCATCAGTATGTCTGCACAGAGCTTAAAATGGAATTGGGTTATAAAACACAGCTTCACTTTGAAAGAAATTATAAATTAAAGTTACTTAGCTTTATTTTTAAATTGAAATTAACTTATTATTTAACTGTAAATTTTCACATTTTAGTTTTACAGCACCTTTTCCACAAGGTTACACAATTCTATGTCATAGTATACCAGAGAATATCTCCTAACTAAGCAACAGTGGTGTTATGTAAACCTTAGAATCAGAAGACTTAAGCTTTAACGTGGCTGCAGAGAAAAGTTAAGCAGTCTCACCCCAATACACCTTCTGTAAAGTGTCAACAGCTGCTTTATGAAATTTAAACATATAATTACAAATTAATGACATTCTAAAACATATAATATTTATCATTCCATATATATGGTAATTTATATTCAAACCTACAGGAATAGTTGCAAATATTATTGCAATATTATATGGCTAATCAAAAATAAATTAAATATACCTATAAAACATTCAATGGAATGCCTGGAATTTGGTGAACACTGAATAACTGCTGCTATATACAACCTGAAAGACTCAGCATGTAGTTAGACATGTGGGGCACAGTTTAAATTACCAAAAGAATCCAGAGCTTTTACATAAACAAGCAAAGTCTGATATTAGAAACAATGTTGAGCTGGGTGTGGTAGCATTCACTTTGATCCCAGTAAGAAGGCTGAAGCAGGAGGATTGAGAGCACCAGGCCAACCTGACTTACAAACTGAAGTTGTAAATAAAGGCAAGTACATGAAAAAGTCATTAGATTTCCATTGTTCATAAACAGAAGCAACAGATTAGGTGTCAGTGTCTACTTAGAGGTAGACCTGTAACTTGTATTTGTGCTTCATGATCCCAAGTCCAAAGTTCTGTGAGAAGAATAGTGAATGGAGGCAAAGTGCTTATTTTCTAGATGAAACAAATTCAAGTTTAGTGATTCCTAAAGATTCCCAAATTTGGGGAAGAGCCACTTTAAGGGAAAAAATATAATATGGCCCATATAAATAAATAATTAAACAGTCACCATCCCATAACCTTGAAAGTGACAGTCAAATAGTTTAAGCTTTGTGACAGATCTTCTTCTCATTTAAATATTTCCACAGCAGCAGAATAACCAAACATACTCTGATGATGTGAGCAAAACACCATATCAAGTTGCTTTTAAAATGACCAGAAAGCATCCACACCACACCTGTGACAATGTAAACCATGCAGGGTGAAGATGCATGGAGCTTAGGGAAGAGCAAAGCACATGTCCTACCTCAGATCATAAGAGCATGTCACTGCTGAGGACAACCGAGTTGAAAAGAATTTTCCTTTAGTGCCTTACTTCAGATTCTGTTTTACAATCTACCAATGGCTGTTAAAAGAAAAACAATAGTTTCAGTTGGCAAGATGAATAGTCCATTCTACAATTCACAGTTTATGAAATGTAGATTTGTAGTTTTTAACTTTTAGCCCCCTGATATTAAATATATTTAAACAAGTTCAACACTGTAGTTTAAAAATAGATATAATTCAGAGCTAATGTTTCTTACATGGAGTTAAAGAGCAGATTCATGAGTACCTACATCCCAGTGTACTCTATTGTTCAGTGTTTACTGAAGAATGCACTATAAACTAACCTCCTGGAACATATCAGTATTAAATGCACTTTTTCCTGTGAAACCTAATTTTACCTTGGGTTCTTACAGCCTTCCTTAACCCTATTTATTTATTTGTTCTATTCTCATTTATTTGAGGACATAAAAAAAATAAATTACAATTACCCTAGTTAAACAAAAGCTGGTTTTTCTCTGCATTCTAACTATGTATTGAAAAATAATTTTATGTTTTTAATGTCAAAAGAACATTAGAAAATACAAAGTAACATCCAATCCTGTTACTTCTTTAGGATAACAAGCCACAGGGAATCCTAAGAGTAACACCATTGGTGAATTTGCTAAACCAGCAGATTAGCAAAAGTGTTTGAGTCCTTCATGCTCTCCAGCATGCCATTGGCCAGATGGGGCTCCCTTCTGGCTGCCTTCCTCTGTTCCCACCCTCTTCCTCCTGCATTCTCTCCCACCTCTTCTGCTCCTCCACCCTCACACACATGCTTTCCACAATACATACTATAACCACTTAAGCCATTCCATTTTAAAAAGTTGATTCTACTCAGATTCAAAATGACATGGTTGTTGGCACAAGTCAAATCGGGCACATCTATCTCTTTTTGTAAGTTCCTTCCATCAGCATGAATAGCTTGTATTGAATCTTTTTTAAATACCTAATAATGAATACTCTCATGGTAGAATATTCTACATAAATGAATTCAGTACTAAGAAGAGTCCTTCCGATGTGTTCTTGAAAATTAGATTAACACCTGCAAATGAGTTTAAAGCTGGAAAAAATATCTGGAAAATATTAGCCAAATCATGTACATTTACCTAAAACATAATAGAAAATAGTGACTTTTTATTTATCTTAATATAAGCTATTACTCAAGAAGCATATGACCTTATTAGTATAAAAAACAAGTGTGAAAGCCACCTCAAAGATTTTTTTCTGAAGTATTAAAAAATATAAGCCACCCTACTTTTTGATGCTGTGTGCTAGTTATAAATCTGGGCTAATACATGTTTGGCTTTTCCAATGCTTAACTCTACTTGTAAATCTTCTGAGGTCTCCTCCCTCCCAATACCTGCACTGAACTCCAAAGACATTCTCACTATAAAAATTATTAAATTTTAAAATTATTAAATACCAAAGATAGGAAACTTCTAAGATGTAATGAAGCTGGTAATATATTATTCCATTTTCTAACATTAGCAGTCACTTAAGAGTCTTATTTACTGCTATTTCACTCATCTAAAGATAGAATATAATCTAAAAAAAAATGCTGATGATGTAGAAAAGGTGTGATGGAGTCGGACCAGCCCCACAAGGTTGAATAGAAGTCAAGCCCCACTCCTCACATCAACAGCAGTTCCCTGGGCAGCTCAACACTCACTGTACTGCATTTGTTTTTTATGAAGCTTGTACCATGGAGTAGCTTGGTGAATATGCTTTCTGAAGTCATTTTTATGTTAAATTTCTTTTTATAAACTTCTAGGTTGAAATAAACCTAAAACGATATCCAACTCCTTACCCAGAGGATTTAAAGAATATGGTAAAATCTGTTCAAAATCTGGTGGGTAAGCCAAGCCATGGAGTGCGTGTTGAGAACTCAAATCCAACAGCTAACACGGAGCAAACTGTGAAAGAAAAGTTTGAACACAAGTGGCCGGTGGCCCCAAAGGAGATTACAGTGGAGGTATTTGGAGGTTATTGGTAACTGACAGTGTGGTTTGATTTTTAGACTTCTGGGTGATGATGTTTCTTCTGAGTAGATCGCTTTAAAAAGCAAATTACACATTATTTCCTCAAATAAAAATGACTCTTTTTTTTTTTTAGATATGAGGGTTACATCTAGTAAGTCAAAGATAGGTACCTCCCTCATGGCCAAAATGATTACTATGTCTTTAATGCATACAGTGACTCATAAGCTACCGAGGCTAGCTAGGAATGTGTTATACCCATAAAAATGTTGCCATCCCAAATCTTATCTGATCATTTGCTGGGGAAACTAATGGAGCTTTTTCATTCAGACAATCACAGTAAAATTCGTACTAAGTTTAGCATGAAAAAAAAATTTTTAATGTTTTTGTGTTTGAGCTTCAGATTAAAAAAAAACAAAAACAAAAACTCAGGCTTGTAGGATCTGACTATGAGAAGCTTGCTTCCTATGTTTGAGAATAAGCTACAAACTTAGTCTTGTTGATTTGTATGGTCTGAAAAGAATTCAACTACATTATGCCACCTCAACTATCTCATCAATTCTTCAACTAATTAGCTGCATCTTTTACTTTCACTAGAAACACAGTTGGAGTGATCATGTCTGGTCCATATTCTCTAAAATCTAGATTGACAAAACTCTTTTACAAATCTGCATTTCAAATAATCTATTTGTGGTATTTGAACACCAGCTGTATATGTAGCACTGTGTTGAACACTGTGAGAGGAATAAAATAAATGAAAATGTGTCCTGGGTTCCCAAGCGATTCAAAGCTAAGCTGGAAAAATACATGAAGTGATCACATGATTTCTTGTTCTAAATTGGGCCTGAAACATATATTAAAGATGGCATTATTCCCTTAAAATAGGAATCAGTGGAGGACATTACAAACAGAGAGAAGACCTTGAGCAAAAAACAGCCATAGACACTTGGGAGGCTGAAACAGGAGGATGGCTGGGCATTCAAGGCCAGCCTAGGACACAAAGTGAAACCCTGTTGTAAAACCAAAACAAAGCAAAACCAGTTATAGGTTGCAAATGCACCTGAAAGAGGAGGACACTTTCACACCTGGAGTTTTAGAGGGCACACCAGCACACCTGAAGAAGTACATCTCAGCCTAGTTTTCTTTCCTTTGCCTTATTATTATCTCTGTGCTCCCTTTTCCCCATGATACCACACTCCCATCTAAGATACTAAAATAGTACACAGGACTGGAAGAAATATTTAGTAAGGGCACACTAAATACACACACACACACACACACACACACACACACACACACACACACACACACTTTGTATTTAAACTTCATGGAATCACATCTTATCTTTTGTAGCAATGTGGTATGAAAACCTAAAAGTGAGTAAATTCAGTACAAATATAAGAAGATTCTATAATTGCTTAATTTGGAAATTTGATATGTAAAAAGGGAGAAAATTATCTGTGGTCACAAATTTAATAATAACCCCATGGTATATAAAATACAGCTAAAGTCTCCCATAAAGAGTCTCCATATAAAGAACACGCCAAAAATAATACATCCAAAATTAAATTTTACATTTCTTCCCCAGACTTGTTCCCACTTCTGCCCTAACCTTAATCTGATTTCACAACATTATCTACCAGCTCTTTGAGGCTGGAAATTGGGGTAATAATTCCTTCTTTCTATTCACTCTTTCCTTTCCAAATAGTTTCCCAAACCTTCATATTTCCACCTGTGTTTCCTCAAGTCCATAACTCTGTCAGCATTGCTACAAAGCCATTGTCTCCTTGCTTCACATTGTCCCCTGCCTCCTTGTTGCCTTGGCAACGCTTTTCCTAAAAAGAGTGCAAATCGAATCGTTTCCTTGGCAATAGCTTCTTAGTGCTGGGAGAAAAGCCCGAGGTTCTTCATTAGCTGGAGAGGATACAGTGGAAGCTGACTTCCAACTTCATGTTCACTGTGTGACTTGTCCCATCCCTTTCTTAGGCTTCTTCAATCTTCTGACGTGATCTCTGTAAAAAGAAATTCCACTGGAGATTTCAATATTTCCTCTGAAATCGAGTCTCTGTATCTTCTTTTCCTTTTAGCTGACTGCAGACAGTCATCATCCTCTTGAATACAACCAAATTAAGGGCCACACTGAACTTTATTCAGTGTTCTGATTTAAGTAGTGTGGACAACCAAGTGTCTTACTAATCATGAAAACAGCATTTATTATATATTTTTCATTTTTGTTTTTGATACAGGTTTCAATATTTTGATATTAGCACAGACTGGCCACAGACTCAAGACCTTGCTGCCTCTGCCTCCTGAGGACTGGGGTTGCAAACCTGTACAACCATGTCTGATGGTATGTGTAGACTGTGCAGTAGAGAATTACACATAATAGAATCAGCTAGGTGATTTAGTGCCTTAACCAAGGGAGAAAAATGAAGAATTGAGGTAATCAAGACTGAAAAAAGTAAAAGAGAGAGGCAATACAAGGTACCAGTATGATTGTGCACTTGGAAAGTAAGGGCAGGAGGATTAGGAGTTCAAGATCATCCTTGGCTACACACTAAGTTCAAGGCTAGCCTATGAGACCTTATCTCAAAAAGGCAAACCAAAAATGATAACTGCATTTCATAACCAGCCAAGTGAATGAGAAAGGAAAGCCAGCCCCAGCTGACCTCTTCCCATACTCTAGAGTCTTCACAGGGCTATACTAAAGAACAGAGCCAGAGAGCCACAGGAACCAAGAGAGCTGATGGCAGGAAGGCTTCTCCTTCCTTCACTTTCCCTTCAAAATGCCCTCTGACGTTTGTCTGCTCACTCCTAGCTCTTTGCATGGCTAGTGTGCCCTCAGCCTTCAGATCTCAAAGGGTCACTCTGACCAGTCTAACCTTCCGGCTTTCTCTACTCTGTCACTCTGCTTATTTGCACTGGATGTAATGAGAACATTTATGATGATTTTATATATTACCTTCAGACAGTTTCAGAGGATAAGGGCCATTTATATCTTGTCTAGTGTATACAGATGATAATTCAAGTGGGGATTTTTCAACTTTGCACTCCTGCCAAAGCTATCAACTCTTAGCAAAAACCGTACTCCAATTTTGAATGGTGACCTTTTGCTGGGCTAACAATACACTCTCCATACTGAACAACAAGCTGCATGCCCTTCAGCAGCTGCAGGATTCCAAATACACACCACATCCACTACAGTGAGTTGGGCTTCTGGGCTGTGAAACACAGAGTGTTAGGAATATCAAAAACATTTTCACTTAATGATATTTTCAACTTATGCTGGATTTATTGTATGTGACTACATCATAAGCTAGGGACAGCCATATGCCCGGAGTCCACCACAGACAAGGCACACAAATTTTTGTTGAATAAAACAATGATTAGTTAAATCTAGTATTATAATCTGTCCTTCTGTCCCATTAGAAGTTCATGGAAATACGGGTGAATTTCTGGGTTTTTGTTGAATTGATTTATCTTTGTTGGCTGCCTTGTCTAGTCACTTTTCACTTGTGCATTGAGGAAATTCCTAGCATATTTATACCCTCTATGTCTCAGTAATTTTTGTTATACTGTTCATAGACTGAACTAATACTTAACATTCCCATAGAAGTAGCTAGGTGCAACTTAGTAAGTATATCCTCCTTTGAGGTCATTGGAAAGATAAAATGCATAGACTGGAAAGGAAAATGTTTTATCTTATTTTTATTTTTAAATAACCAAAGCCAAAATATTAAGATATATGCACCATCAGACACTGACCACGTTTTCTCAAAACTGGAAGTCATAGCAAACACGACAACCCTCAGATGTCATATACTAGCATTCAAATTTTACTTTTTGATTATAGCAATCATCAAAATCCAGCTTCATGAGAACTGACACCAAGAATGTGCAACCAAATGTTGAAACCAAGTACAACAGTGATCCAGCAATTCACAGCTGCCTGATTGATCTCAAGCATTGCTTCCCTGAAACACTCTCTACAGCCCATAATATCCCTGTGAATTAGCAATGGCCTCCACAGGTGCCTCAGAACACAGTTTGGGAACCATAGGGAAAGGCCTTTTAGTCTAGGAAGCAAGAACTGCTCTCATAGATCTTACTTGTTGCTGACCTAAGCAAGGGATCTGTGTCTGGGCCACAATGTCTTTACCTCTAAAAATCTAAGTGCTAAGAGATGCTATGGAGATGGACTAGGGTATCAATAGGTATTTATATAAACCTAGCACTTTGTACAGAAAAAGACTAGAATAAATGATAATTTCAGACCATTCCTCAAGAGAATAAAACTCCAATTCCTCCCCCGTTCTCTTTCGCGTTCTGCATATTTCTATCTGGACACCTGCTCATTGTGTCTGCTGTAGTCAAAAATGATACAAACCTTTTTCATCCTGAGGAGACAGCCTATTTTCCCTCTACAGAGAAGCCATATCTTCTGCCGAATAATGGAAAACAGTCAACTGTCTCTGAAGTTTTCTCTTGTTGCCTTTATTAACTCTTGTCCTAGACTCTCAAAAGCTCAAAATTGAGCTTTTATTCTTAACTTTTACCTTAGGATTCTCTTTCTCCATGTTATGAAGAGCCAAGATTTTGTCTAAATAAAGGAAAGATAATGGGATTTTAAAAAATGAAAGGACATTTTACCCACCACCACCTCTACTTCTGTCTCCTCAGCAGGAGACACGTTTAGATGAACTTCTGATGGGCCACTTAGCGAAGCTGATTGCTTGCCAGCAGCTTCCACTGTTTACTACCACGAAAATAGTCTCAGAACTTTTCTTTCCTCAATTTTTGAGCAGGATCAGAGACTTATAACCTAGTTGGATCATGCAGAGCCCTGGCCACAATTTTGAATAGCTGATGCATATAAGCAAGATATCCTAAGTACTGAATGTGTAGAACATGAGGTAAAAGAAGTAATGTTAACATTCTGTGCTGATATGACTGCCTGATTTGGTTCTTATGTCTCATTTTATTTTTTATCTTGCTGTTTCTTAAAAAATAATTCTTCTACTTTTATTAGGTGTCATTTAAAAATACCTCCTTTCTGAGTTGTTTCACACAAATAAGTTACCTTTATCTTCACATACTGAACATAAATTAGCACTAATTCTATTACCCACCACCTTCATCTGACAAATGTGCCAGATACAGGTCTGAGAATTACTTTGTCTTGCCCAAGGTACCTGATTAATAATTGATGAGACAGAGACAGGATGGAGAGACAGCACCCTGTGATTGACAAGTTGTCTTGTTCTTTGCAGAGAACTGCTTCTCCAGCTTGCATCTTCTTATAAACACATGCTTTTATTCTTTATTATACCACTTTAAAGTTCTACAGTACCTTTCTTGTGCTGAACTTTGAAATTCCATGGAAATGCAGATTTCTTTCTTCAACCCCAGGCTTTTAATTGCCCCTTTGTCTTTAGGACCCCTTTTTAAATTGGATCCTTTGTTTCTGGTCCCTGATAGTCTCACTGGGGACCAAACACTGGAAGAGGGACTAGCTGAGTGGGAACCCAAGAGAACTACACTCCAGTCTTAGGTCTTTGTTAAGTATTTTTGTGTGCCCCAAGTCCAGTAAAAGTGTTGAACTCAATGGTCATTCAATCTTCATCGACTGAAGCAAATATTCATCGAGAAGCAAATATTCTCATACACCCCCAAAATAAGTTTAAAAGATAAAATTTCAGCCAAATATTAAAGGAACTGATGTATTTTCTGCAATACCAAAATCCTAAAGCTTGTCCCTTTGAGTGTTTCTGTCTGTTCATTACACCAACCAAACACTAGACAAATCTTTCCAAATTCCTGATAATTTTTCTAAGTATATCCTTCTCTGATTCAACAAAACATTTCTACTGTGTTAGTTCAATGCTACAAATTAACAAGATACTAACAAACAAACAAACAAACAAAACCCTGAATGTTCTTCTTTGAATTCAAATTATCATAAACAAGTTAAAAGACACAGCTGTTGTGTACAGAAAGTGGGAATTGAGATTTTGCTTTTCTTAATGTTCTCCTGATATCTGTTTAATTGGGAATTATCTGAATTCTAGAAATTAAAATTCATGAAAGTTTTGCACTGATGAGATGGCTCAGTGGTTGAAAACTCTGGTTGCTTCTGCAGAGCACCCAGGTTCAGTTCCCAGCACCCACATAGTGTTAACTCCTGATCCCAGAAATCTAATGTCCTCTTCTGGCCTCCACAGGCACTGGTTGCTAATAGTGGATTCCCATGCCTGCAGGCAAAACATCAACACATAAAATTAAATAAATTTTTAAAAGAGAGAGAGAGAGAAAGGAAATAAATTTTAAAACTTGTGGGACTTGTATATTGCTTATTCTTCATAGAGTTGTGTTCTTTACCACTGCCATTCAATTCACTCAACATTTGATACACGGTAGATCAAGTAGTTTGGAATGGGCATGAGAACACTAACAACCTCAGGAAGGAGTCACAGCAGACCCACAATGACTGCCAACACAGCCACCTGGGACACAGCAGGGATTGGAGAGCAGGGGCCTGGGGCACAGGATTACTGGACCATGAGCTGGATAATGTGTGTGTATGGGTGGAACTAAGATCCAACTGGTCTACAATGGCCTTCTCACTTGGAACTCTCTAGAATTCTCATATCCAGAATATATGACTGTGAGCTCCACTGCCTGTGGAGGGTGCAGCATAGTTCAGCGCTGTGTTGAAATGAGTACTGTTTCATCTCAATTAGATTGGGAATTCCCAGAAGACCATGTTGTGTCTTTCTGGGGAACCTCCACAGTTCTTTGCTCAGTGCCAGGCATACACATAGCATCCAAAAATACATCTAATAAATAAATGAGTTCACATAAATTAGAAAAATAATTAGCACTCAATTAGAGATACACAGGGTTCTTTTCACAATGCCCTATGGTGAATTAAACTCTAGGGCTGCATCTTTGAGTCTGAGCCAAATAAGATATTGCCATCTTGGTTAACCATTATTTAAATGTTTACTTTCCTTGTCCTGTATTATTATATCTCTCAGGATTCTTTTGTTCATCCAGCTAATGAAATGAGGATTGGGGAACTTCACCCTTCATTAGCTGAGACCCCTCTGTACCCACCCAAACTTGTTCTGCTAGGGAAGGACAAAAAAGGTAACATCGTGAAGCCGATGTGGAACTGTGACCGATGCATGTGCATGATAAATCACCACTTATACATTATGACATGCCGTAGTCTATAAGTACTCGCAGATGTGTGCTTCTGACATTAATCCATATGGAATCTGCTTTTCATACTTCTTTTGTATCCATCAGTGTTCGTAGCATTGTAACATGTTTCCCCTTTAAATTTCAGAATCAACTGATGAGTCTGAAGTTGACAAAACTCACTGTCTGAATAACAGTGTCTCCTCAGGCACCTACTCAGACTACTCGCCCTCCCAGGCTTCCTCGGCGTCCTCTAACACCCGCGTGAAAGTGGGGTCCTTGCAGACAACAGCTAAAGATGCCGTCCATAACTCTTTGTGGGGTAACAGGTGTGTTGAGAATTCCCCCTTCTATGTTCCCAAATGTTCATTTTCATCAACTTTGACAAAGTGGAATCTGCTTGATGTTGGAATTGTGTTTGACACATGAGTGGCACAGAAGACAGAAGATGCAGGTAAGCATGTGGGCTCAGTGGTACTTTGGTGGTACATGTTCCAGGGCCTGGCATCCATGCAGGCGCATCTCAGAGGAGATTAGGAGAAATCACAGTAGGAACTAAAAGCTTGAAAGTAAAATTTTTTGTTTGGCCATCTGAAGTTTATGAGACATGTGGGCATGTCACATCTAAAATAATATAAGAAGGGCTGGGTAGAAGCAGCTTAGCAGTGGAACTCAGTGTTTGGGGCCCAGGATTTATCCCCACTAACACAAGAAAGCAAAAATGGTGTGATAAATTAAGATATGTGGGCTGGAGAGACTGCTCAACAGTTAAGAACACTAGCTGCTCTTCCAGAGGACCTGGGTTCCATACCCAGCTCCCATCAACATGATGGCTCACAACAGTCTGTAACTACAGTTTTACGAGATTTGATGCCTTCTTTTGGTTTCCATGGGTACCAGACACTCACATGGTACACAGACATACATGCAGGCAAAACACTCATACACATAAAATAAAAATAAATTTTTACAAAAGGATATGTGTAAAACATTTTGTCTGCCACAGAGTAAATGCACATTCTGTCACATTGTCATTCTATCCTCACCTGAAGTCAAGATGCGTGTAAAGGCATTTACCCTTTCCCATGCACCTCCTCCTGCATTACTCCTATTCTATGTATGGAAGATACAAGAGCTTGAGGGAACCAGAAACAGTCATAGAAATTCAAAGAAAGCAAGGGAGGGTGAGAGAGGCTGAGAAAGGGTCGGAGAAGGTCAGAGGGAACCAAAGAGAGCAGGAGAGAACCAGTGAGGCTCAGAGAGGGTCAAAGAAGGTCAGGGAGAGCCAGAAGAAGACAGGGAGGGAGGGCCAGAGGGAGATGACAGGGAGGGCCAGAGGGAGACAGGGAGGGCCAGAGGGAGACAGGGAGGGCCAGAGGGAGACAGGGAGGGCCAGAGGGAGACAGGGAGGGCCAGAGAGAACCAAAGAAGGTCAGAGAAGTTCACAGAACGTCAGAGAGAGCCAGAGAGAGCCAGGGAGAACTTGAGAGAGCCAGAGGGAACCAGAGCAGGTCAGGGAGAGCACCAGAGGGAGTCAGGAAGAGTCAGGGAGAGCCAGAGAAAGCCAGAGAGGATTAGAGAGGGTCAGAGCAAGCCAGAGGAAGACAGGGAAAGCTGGGACGGTCCAGAGAGCCATCCATTCATTCACTAAGCAGCAACATGTCTGCGCTGTCTGAGGTCCCTGACCCCTCCTCTTTGGAATGTGTTAAGTTCTCTCAACTGGTAACTTGGAAGTACTCTGAATTGGAAATTCCAGGGATGAGTAGTGGAAATCCCCTGCCATCTTCAGGACCGTGATTGAAAGAGCACTTATTTCATTCATTCACCCATTTAGCCAATATGTATCCTGATCCCAAAAAGGAGAAGACCTTTCTCTTCATGCTTGCACTCTATGGAAGGACCAAAGATAGTAAACAATGAATACATTGGGCCGTCAGTTTCCTAGCGTGCCAGAAGGCCATGGTTACTCAGAATATATGAAAGACAGAGCAGGTTAAAGTGGGCTCTTTGGATGGTGCTTTAACGGTAAGCCAGGTGGAGATAAATGAATTACACAAAGGCTGGTGGCATTCTCCTTATAGGAAGGTCACCTCTCCCTCTTGGTCATTTTTCTCCTTCTGCTTATGTTCACAGGATTGCACCACCTTTCCCACAGCCTCTGGATGCAAAGCCATTACTCAGCCAACGGGAGGCTGTTCCTCCAGGAAATCTCCCCCAGCGTCCTGATCGGCTGCCAATGAGTGATGCTTTTCCTGACAACTGGACCGATGGTTCCCATTACGATAACACGGGTTTTGTCTCAGAGGAAGCCACAGCAGAGAATGCCAACAATAACCCTCTCTTAAGCGCCAAAGCTAGAAGCATACCTGCTCATGGGCGCAGGCCTTTAATCAGGCAAGACAGGATTGTTGGTGTTCCCCTGGAACTGGAGCAGTCCACACACAGACACACGCCAGAAACAGAAGTGCCTCCTTCCAATCCCTGGCAGAACTGGACCAGAACCCCCAGTCCATTTGAAGACAGGACTGCTTTTCCTTCCAAGTTAGAAACAACCCCTACTACCAGCCCCTTGCCTGAAAGAAAAGACCACATGAAGGAGCCTACAGAGACACCAGGTCCCTTTTCTCCAGGAGTGCCATGGGAGTATCACGATCCCACCCCCAACAGGAGTCTCGGTAATGTCTTTTCTCAAATCCACTGCCGCCCAGATTCATCTAAAGGTGTTATTGCAATTAGCAAAAGCACAGAGAGGCTCTCCCCACTCATGAAAGATATAAAGTCCAACAAGTTCAAAAAGTCTCAGAGTATTGATGAGATTGACATTGGTACCTACAAGGTTTATAACATTCCACTAGAAAACTATGCCTCTGGGAGTGATCACTTAGGAAGCCACGAGCGGCCAGACAAGTTGTTGGGACCAGAGCACGGCATGTCCAGTATGTCCAGGAGCCAGTCGGTACCCATGCTGGATGACGAGATGCTCATGTATGGAAGTAGTAAAGGGCCACCCCAACAGAAAGCATCTATGACTAAGAAGGTCTATCAGTTTGACCAAAGCTTCAATCCACAAGGAGCAGTAGAAGTTAAAGCAGAGAAGAGGATTCCACCCCCTTTTGCACACAATTCTGAGTATGTGCAGCAGCCCAGCAAAAACATCGCCAAGGATCTGGTCAGCCCCAGAGCCTATAGAGGTTACCCACCCATGGAGCAGATGTTCTCCTTTTCCCAGCCATCTGTAAATGAGGATGCCATGGTGAATGCTCAGTTCGCCAGCCAGGGGCCCAGAGCAGGCTTCCTAAGGAGGGCTGACTCCCTGGCCAGCTCCACGGAAATGGCCATGTTCAGAAGAGTCAGTGAGCCCCACGAGCTGGCCCCTGGTGACAGGTATGGCCGAGCAGCCTATAGGGGAGGGCTAGAAGGCCAGAGCAGCATTTCAATGACTGATCCCCAGTTCCTCAAGAGGAATGGCAGGTATGAAGATGAGCACCCTTCATATCAAGAAGTGAAAGCGCAGGCGGGAAGTTTCCCCGCTAAAAACCTTACCCAGAGGAGGCCACTGTCTGCCAGGAGCTACAGCACAGAGAGTTACGGAGCCTCCCAAACAAGGCCAGTTTCAGCTAGGCCTACCATGGCAGCCCTCCTGGAAAAAATACCATCTGACTATAACCTGGGTAACTATGGTGACAAGCCGTCAGATAACAGTGATATAAAGACAAGGCCCACCCCTGTGAAGGGAGAGGAGAGCTGTGGTAAAATGCCGGCAGACTGGAGACAGCAGCTGCTTAGACATATAGAAGCTAGAAGGTTAGACAGGGTATGTCTGCGTTTCTCTGTAAGAATTCCCCTTCTGCCTTGGGTTTTCCTTTCCTGGTGTCTCTGAGCACATGTGGTGGTGCATGACTTACAGGAATGATAGCTCCCGGAATTTTACTTTTATTTTGTGGGGGAGATGGATTGCAATAGTTTATTGTAGATATTTCTTAATGCTTTCTGAGAAGTCATAACTAGCAGGTGAATTACCTATCAAAGCTAGCCTAAATATTGTTGGTAAGAAAGAATTTGACTCGATTATCTGGGATGGTGCTTCAATGTCTTTCTAGCCATGCAAGCAAGGCCGCCTCTCCCAGGACCCAAAACTCTTCCCTGGTGACCTAAAGAGTGTTATTTTTATTGAGTCTATAAAAAGTGAGTATTTCACCCTTTCCACATGGACTCACTTATATTAAACTCGGGCTTAATTTGTTTATAAAATCTGCACATAGCTACAGCTAAGGGACAACTGAAGTTATTACCTCTAATGAGCAATAATCTTCCCAGCAAGTAACAGAAAACTAAAATAAACCGAGATTAAATGCCCTCTTGCACACTTTTTTATTTGATTTAAAAAATCCTGACATTTAGAATATTGGCTTTTATGAAGAAAGAAATTCTACAATTCAAGTCAAGCTATAAACAACAAATGCAGATGGTGTCTCAAGAAAGACTACAAATTTAACAAATTAGTGTGTACAGTGTAGCAAAACAAGGAAATGAATCCCAAATTAATCCTAATTCAGTTAAAAATTGAGTCATAATACTGTGCGGAGTGAGCAGTGATTAGAGAGTTAAAAACAAAAACAAGAAAAAATACAAATCATGGAATTAGTTCTTGTTACCTGCTTGAATCTCTCTAAGAGAAACCAAGTATTTCATTTTCTAGAGCTTTTGCTCATCTGCATCACCACTCACTAAACCGTGTGGCTCGGTGGGCAGTGGGGGTGGCGCTTGCCGTTAGCCCCAGCACTCGGGAGGCAGAGCCAGGCGAATGTCTGTGAGTTCCAAGCCAGCCTGGACTACAGAGTGAGATCCAGGAAAGGCTCCAAAGCTACACAGAGAAACCCTGTCTCAAAAAACAAAAACAAAAAAGAAACCTTGTGGCTCTAGTTCAAAAGACTGTGTGTACCCCAAAGTCACTTCAAATTAAAGATTGCTTTGCAAAAATGAGGCCTCTCCCTCTCACATGGTCAAGTTAGGTACTCTGAGTAATAGTATGCCATCAGAATGTTTCACTTGGTCATTTCAGTTTTATTTGATTCTCTGCTCTTATAAAGGCAGGGTCACCTTATTATGTATTTCTTTAATATTAAATTTGAGTTTTCAGCTTATTCTTTTAAAAATAATGACTTGTAGGTTGTGTCTACACTACAAGGAAAGTTTTCCTAGGGAAAGAATGAATTAATAAATGTGGCTGTGGGTATTAGTTTCTCAACATGAAAATTGTCTCTGACTTGCAAAATACTTCATCAGAAAGTTTTAAATAGGTGTAATCCATCCCATTGAAGGAAGCTTTGTCAAAGTCTCACGACTAGCATTAATTAGTAGGAGACACCTGATCAGGTGGCACGTGCCTTACCTTGAGTTATACCCTCCATGTAGACAGATAACTTGAAGGGTAAAAATATTTAGGGTTAAATAATACAGAACAGTTGGGAACTCTGGTCTCATTTAAACAACAGCCATATATAATATGGTAATATGAACTAGCTAAAATGGGTTCTAAGAAGGTATGGGGAATGTGTGTGTGCTGATCAGTAATTTGAGACAGAAGAATGAGTGGAAACAAAGCATTGAAATAGAATGACGCGGTGTGAAGCATTTGGTGTCATCAATTTACTCGTACCCTGGATAGATGTGCCTCACCCACTTTGAACCAAGACACTAAGAAGTAGGTGACTCCTATAGCTGCAGAGCAAATAGCTGGGGAAGGGCTTAGATAAGTAAGCCTGAAAGCCCTGCCTGGCTCAGAGGGCAACGGTGAATTTACCTGTATTTTTCATTGTTGTGATGACACCTCCCTTTTCCGAGCTGTTTGTTTGTGATTCCCTGGTTTCTAACACTAACTTTTCAGAGCAATTTTGATGTGTGTTTAATAAGTTTCTCATTTGATTCAAGAAGTTGAGTTCCTTTAGACTACTGCTCCAAGCTACAGTTTCCTAGGAGCTTTCTTCAAGTTTGCTCCAAGTGGCATTTCCTTTCCCGAGGAGCTGAGTTACTCAGCAATAACTCAAGATGTATCTCCTGTGAAACCTTCCAGCTATTCACCCAGATAAATTCATGGCTCCAGAGCACATATTACAGTGTCACATAGTTTTGACAGAACTGTGCTAGTAACATTCTGCCTGTGATCAGATGGCACCAGAGATGAGGGGTACTTTCTTCCAAAGCTCAGCTAAGCTATTTAACCCTGAGCGAACAGTATTACCAGCAGCTACAAGATATTTGTGATTTCACATGAAAGTAAACTGCCTACAGGTCTGTTCATGTTATAGGCTTAACAATCCAACATGGAGTTGGCAAGTGATCTCAGTGTTGGCCTTGGAGAGACAGCTCCAAGTACTACACTAGGGAAAGGATACCATTTTCTCCCTTATTTTAATCATGAATGCTTCCATGACAGAGCCTCACTGTGATCAAGAATTTAAAACAGGAGCCCATGTGTGTGAGATTGCTGGTTCTCTATGGGGCATCAAGGAATTACCTCTGAACCAGAAGGAGAGGTTTAGTCTTTTTCACTTTTGGCATGGTGACAGTGAACTAGTCCTTAGTCCTTAACAAATAGAATTGGCAGACAAGTGTATCACTGGTCATCTCTCTCCACAGCTCACAAAATGCTGGTGATAAAAATCATTACTTTGGGAAGAGTGCTCTCAGAACAAAAAACGATATCCAACTATCAGTTCTCAATGATAGCTAAGAAAAAGTCTACTGCATTAAATAAGAGAATTACTTATAAAAGAAAGCACTATCAATGATTGTATTTCCACTGTTGACTGAAAGTTTGATGTTGAGTCATTTTAAAACATCTTAATATTTTAATGAAGCCCTACAGAGAAAAATTATTAGTCATTAGTACCTGGCAAAGGATATCTACAATATAAATATCACCAGAGTGTTGTGCAGATATTTGATGCATACTAAAAAAAATAGCACTAACCATCTTCAAATTATAACTGCCCTTAAGGTTGTCACACATTAGCTTAGGCAGAGTTAGAAGTTAACATCTCACCATTATAGATGCAGATCTTATGATGTGAGAAAAATCAAATTTTTAGCATATGGAATCTGATTAAAATCTCACTGTTCCAATTTGCAAAACTAACTAATTACTGCAGATAATCAATACTTGTCTCAAGCGGGGATCCTCAGGATATCTAAGAGACAGAAACAGACTTAGACGTTCCCTGAGAGCAGGTATAAACAATGTATCTTTGCTCTTGTCATTTCTGTAGCTCTGGAGGGTACTCATTATGTGCATAACTAACCCTGTTACTGTTTGCTTTTGTCTGATGAGCGCATGTTTATAAAAAGTTACTGTTTGCCCGCTTACAGTTCAATGTTATGAATTTAGATGTGTTCATGTAATGATCTGTTTGTGAAGCCCGTGTTTACATCCTGTCACATGGTTATCTCCTCTACTCAGAACGCTGCTTACAAACACAACACAGTTAACCTTGGCATGCTGCCCTATGGAGGTATTTCAGCAATGCATGCAGGCAGAAGCATGACTTTAAACTTGCAGACTAAGTCTAAATTTGACCTTCAAGACCTACCTCTTCAGAAAGTAAGTATGGACTGCCCTACATGTGTCAGCATCCCAAAGCCACTTGACGTTTGTTCACTTGGTGTATTTAGACTGTGCATCTAGCCCTGCTTGTTACAGACTCCATAGTCCAAAAGCACCAGGGCAAATGATGTAGAGTCTGAATCTGTAGTTGCTCAGTGTTTACTGTAGCTAGATTGATGATCAGACGCTTGCTTTTTGGACTGAGCAGGCACATGGCTTCGGGGGTTGATTTAAGGATCATCTTTCTATTTATTTTTCTATTCTTCCATGGTTTTTTTTCTTTTGTGTTTACACATTTATTGTTTACATTTTTGGAGACCATCCCTGCCTTCCCTTGGTGAAGCATTCTGAGAACAAAGCTGAAAACTGTTTTTTTTTGTATTTAGGTGGTTCCTTTAGAAGGAACCTTTAGAAAAATAACAAGTTCATATATTTTAAACAAATATATAGATATTAGCAAGAAAATAATGTTGTATAATAAAGAGAAGAAGAATTCCCATTGTTAATGAAATATTTGTCTTGTTCAGTCAGCATTGAGAATGCCCATTTTACCTGCTTAAACTAATTAATGCTTTTTCTCTGTTACATCTTAGTGGAGACTAATGAGTCATTTTCATACAATGTCATTATGACTATATGTTAATGTAGTCATTAGCCTCATAAGGTTTTGTGGATAAAGAAGTACAAAATAGGAAAAGAGTGACAGCAGCCCCCAACATCTCTTCTTTCTGAATAAAGTTAAACATGGGACAAACTCCATGCTGTAAGGCCTCACATTTCACTGTCAAATGTCTGGTAACATTTCCCAGTTCTGTGTAGTTTAATTCAGGCTGTGGATATCATAACATAGTTAGAAATTTTATATCCACAGATTTTCACACACACACATACACACACACACACACACACACACACACACACACACACACACACACACACACATACACACACACAGCAATCAAAACCTAAATAAACTGGGAACTTTTAAATATTATCTTATTTGTTCTCAGTCTCCCAGGGGGATGAACAGTGGTGCATGATAACTTTCTCTGCTGGTATTTGCTGAGGTCAGCAATAACTCTCATCATGTCCATGCTCAGGGCGCAGTTCACAATCTCTAAACTTAGATCTGGGCTTGTGAGCAGTTAATTTATTCAAGCCAGCATAAGTCTAGCATGTCATCAGCATAACTATTTTCTTGAAACTCCCCTTTACGACAACCTGCTTTTCATGTCCTCTTAGAAGTCCAAAGCCCTCATCCTCTTTCCATGAAAAACCAACTTTCTTATCCTGTCCACACTCAGGGATGGATGAGCTTTCACAACTATAGACACCTCTGCAAGAGAACTTGGGGAGTAACGCAAATCAGTCTTTGAAACTAAAAAAGAAATTTTCAAAAAAGATTTATGAGCAGATTAAAATACTTTGTGAGGCATGGGTGCCACACACTCCCAGCACTTGAGGTTCAGAGACAGGTGAATCTCTGAGTTTGAAGCCTACCTGGACTACCTGAGCTTCTCAGGGAAACCCTGTCTCAAAAAACAAAGCAAAACAAAAAAATTAAATTAAAGGAGTCTTGGAAAGAAGAAAGCTATTGCTGGAACCCTCTGAAAATACCTAATGGCAACAACCCTATTTTGACTAATTTGGGGCTTAATTACTCTTTGACCCATACAGTGATCTGGATTCATGCAGTAACTGAAGAGCAGCAGTGCACTTAAAAATATGTTTCTGGTGTCTCAGTTACTCTCCAGGCATGAGTTAGGGACAGCTGCCTTGTGGTATTAACCTTGTAATGCAGTGGCCCTAAAGAATAGATCTCCCATCTCTCACTGTAGTGATACCATACTTCATAACAGCGATAATGCATAGCTGTATTTGAGGACCTCAGGACCATCCTCTCTTGGGCAAAGACAGGACTTACAGGAAGCCCCTTTGGAAAGAAAATCCCTCTAGAAAGCACAATAAATTGCAAACCAACAATTTAAACACTGAAAGACTTCAAAGTAAATTATTATCAATACATTATCTCCTGCATGAAGGAGGAGGAAGTGGAAGAGGGAAAGGAGGAAGAAGAGGAATGAAAAGGTCATTTCTAAAATTAACAGTTTAAGGTCTATGAAAAACAAACTACTCTACCTGGCATGTAAAGAGTTCAAAAATATTAATGCATAAGCATTCAAAGCACAGCCAAAGCTGTGGCTGTGGCGATTCAGCCTTCACTCCAGCCCATCGGTTCCACCCTAAGCTCCCATCCCTTCTGCCAGATTCATCTTCTCTATAGAGCTTGGATTTACAAATCTGGGGAGGCTTTCTGCCAAACTATAGATCAACCTTTATATAATTTTTTAGTTACCATACAAAGAGATGGTTGTTACTATGACATTTTCATCCATACTATATTCTTATCCATCCTCCCCTCTCCCTTCCCCGCTGACCCCCTTCCTCCCCCAAAACAGCCCCAAAACAGTCACATGTATTCTATTATCCTCTCTTTCTGTTTCCTCCTTAAGATTTCTTCTTGCTCTCTCAGGGTTCCATACACATACACAAAATTACTCTCAGGCATCTAGAAGGAAAGCATGAAGCTTCCTAAGGAAATAAAGGAATGTGCAACACACATTTGTGGAAGTGGTGCCCTTCCCAGGGAACACTTGGGCTGAAATCACAATTGTGGCCTTCCTCTCAGGCTCCCAAACCTGGCCTCTTGCACCAGGAGGAAGGAGCACTTGTAATCCCTCCAAAGCACTGACACTGCCCTTAAGCAAATTGATAATAAACTAATTAAAGGATACAACTGATTGTAATGAGGAGCCCTGGTACCTAGTAGTGCTTGCACAGTATATATATTCAAGGCCATTGGGCATGGAGTGGGGGGCAGACATGCTGATCTTGTGTATTTTGAACATTTTTTTTTTTTTTTGGTTTTTCGAGACAGGGTTTCTCTGTGTAGCTTTGGAGCCTGTCCTGGAACTCACTCTGTAGACCAGGCTGGCTTCGAACTCACAGACATTCGCCTGACTCTGTCTCCCGAGTGCTGGGATTAAAGGCATGCGCCACCACCGCCCAGATATTTTGAACATTTTTAACTCATCCCTATTTATTGCATGCCAGGTCAAGCATATATTTTTCATGGATTAAAAACTAAACTATAGTCTTTCTTTTCTATAAACAGGAAATTATATTTTATATGATAATTTCATAAAAGTCTTTAAGATATTTTTGAAAATGCCATTAAATACAACAAAATTAATATAAAAAGTTAAGATTATTCATTAGTTTGTTGATGTTTCTGCTGAACTTGAAAATCTAAGAGTATTTATGAATTATAATGCTGGATATGTAAGTTAGGCTTAAATTATAAGATATTGGTATTTCCTATTTATTTGTTCCTTCCTTCATTCATTCACTCATTCAATCATTTATCATTTATTTGCCGCCTTTCCAAAAAGCATTCAAGTCAACTTCCTATGATGTTTTTAGTGGTTCATGTGCTTTTTCAGATGCGTTCTACTGTAATGAGCTCAGCTATTGTCTTGAAATGTCATGTTACTGGGAAAAGGACATTACAAGAGAATGTTGGTTCAAACCACTATTTTTATTGCCTAGATTAATGAATGATAGAATGATAAATATTTCCATTGGGAGAAAACAAAGGCTGAGAAAGACTGAAAACTCACTCTGGCTGGTACCACAAGGTACTTAAAGGATAATTTTTTTCTTGCAACTCACAGACCTAAGTGGACATATTTAGAAGGTGAATGAGAGAGACAGGAGACAGGCTCACAAGTCACACAGATATATCACGTGCTTCTGCTTTACTGTCATGCCCATGGTGCCCAGTGTGTGCCCTCTCTACATTCAGTGAAGCCTTTTCACATTTTGTAACATCTGACATTTTCATACATGACTCACAGTAGTCAATACAATTCCTTCGTTCACATTATTATCCAAATAGGCATAAAAGTTGATAATGTGGAAAAATTTTAAAGAGAAATAAATGATGTGTCTTCACTGACCCAAGAACACATGATCACGTTGTTATGTAGATGCTACAGGAGAAATGATTCAGGTTATCTGAACTAAGTGAAAGCCAGTGATCACCATGTGCTCTGTCAAATCCACCTGTACTTCCTGACCCTTCAGTCTCACCAGAATGTGCTTGATGGCATGAATATTACAGACCCCAAGCATCACATGCTAACCATGGCATGCTGACAGCTGCCACCACCAGAGAGCATCAGAGCTGGGGATGAAACACTAACCTTTGCTAATGCCTGCCCAGGGCATGGCTCCCAATAGAAGTACCACAGGTTCCACAGAGCTAGAGTGGTATTTGCCACCTCTTCTTCTTTTAGTGTTTATTACTGTAATGTTACACTATAGAGTCTTTTGCTTGTTATTTATAGAATTGGGCAGTAATATAAATTATAATTTCAGAGATGGAAGGCCTAAGTCATACATATGACATATATATATATATATATATATATATATATATATATATATATATAATATATAAAATAATTGCTTCTTTAAAGTTACCTGGGAGAAAATGTCCTTACTGTCTGTTTCATTAGTTACTAAATCAGTTGATTACTGTCTAAGAAACTCCTGGGTTAGGGAAATTCAGACAGCAGTGTTTGCCTTGATTGTTTCTAAACTTCTGGTGTCTTTTTCCACTGGACCTATGCAGATGACCCAGGATCAGATGGTACCATAATCACTATGCATCTATTCATCCTAAAGCCAAGTGTTGTTTATTCAATCTCTTTTTTTTCCTGCTGAAAGCAAACCAAGATCTATGCTGTACCCCTGGCCAACTTGTGCCTGTAATTCCCATCAGTTCTGCTATATTTATTACTGGCTCTTTATCCCTCCATTAAAAAGCTATCCACCATTCTAATTATAAAAAAAAGCCACCAGCTTGCAAATGTACACATCCTTACAGACAGAAGCTAAAATGAGCAATGTTAGTATCAATGTGAATGATGTCTCATCTCTGTTATGGGCTAACACAGTCTTTAAAAATCATAACCATAATTCTCTCATACAGTATTTTGCTGGAATGCTAGTACTTTTAATTTCACTAAAAATACTTTGGGCAGATTTTTTTCTAGCGTTTCCTGGTTTTGTTTTTGGTGTTGTTTTTTATTTATTGATCTGTATGCTTGCTCCAGTTTTGGTGTTTGTTTTGTTTTGTTTTGTTTTGTACAAGGTCTCAGTATGTAGCCTAGGCTGGCCTCAAATTTATGATTCTCCAGCTTCAGCCTCCCTCCTCATTGCTGAAATTATAGACATTTGCCACCATGTTGCTTGGACAAACTATCTTTAACATTTTCTTAAGTCTATGAAAATCTCCTTTGCAAACCATGTATCAATTACCTAACAAAGTAGATCCTTGCATTCATCAAAGGTGTCATAAGAACTTGGAAAAGTGTCAATTTCTAACGCCACTCATATTTTCTTCAGCAGGATGGCATTACATATAATTTCACAAGCATACTGTACACCATTATTTAGCAGATGAGCAAGGCAACTGGTTCAGCTATGCTCATTTACTCATGTTAATACTACTCATATATATACTTACACAAATATACATCCATAGGGACACATTCATGTACACAAATGCATACTGAAGGCTTAGCCAGATTAGAAATCACTTCTTTCACTGGATATTTATCACCGTTCCTAGTTCTGAGAATCATCCACTAAGTCTATCAATGACCACAGCAAACTTTGGAGTCAGGTTTTCTTAAGCTATAGCCCTTTCTAAAATTTTTGCTTTTCCACTATCTTACACTGTCCATTTCCTCTGTTTTTCTAATAATAAAAACTAGTAAGATCCAGCAGCTAACATCCTGTGCACTGTGTGTTTGTTTCCTTGGCTGGTCATGTGAGCTGAGGAACATCAGAAGTGGTCCTAACCTTTAGAGTACTAACAGGATGTGAGCACCTGGTTTCGCTTGTTTTATTAGAAATAAGACATTGTAACAGCAATGGCTCCAATTTATATTATGCTTTCGAGTTGTTCCTTTTTATCTTCTAGACAAAAAATTTACTCATACCATATATCTTAATTTGAGAAACGATGAGAGCATACTAAATATTTCACTTTTCAGTCATCCCCAATAAGTGTTTCATGGTGTTCCTGTTTCTCCAGGCTTTATAGTGCCTCACTTAGGAAAATCAAATCGCAGCTCATTCTTGAAATTAATAAGGGAAATTACTTTCAGGAAGTACATTAATTTTACTATGTAGTACAAAAGAATCTCCTTAATGGTCCTGTATGTTTCTGTTTCTGTGTCCCCTGTAATATAAAAGAATTAGTGTGACAGTTAATTCTAATTTTTAAAAAGAGACAAATTAATTTATAAACTTAGGAAGAACCCAGGGTAATGATGTCATGGTTTTGATAGAATGGAGCTGCACTTTTGTTGTGGGCCAAGAAGAATTGTGCCATTTTGAATAGCTCTCAGTGGCTATTCAAAATAGAACTATTCATTTCTGGGCGGGTTAGAAAATGTGTAAGAGGAAATTCATATAAAGATGAGAGTGACATGAACAAAAAAGGAACCCTGTGCTGAAGTCTATCTACCTTTCAAGAATGTGTCTTGCACAGAGGCAACCAGATGACAGTTTGTGTTGGACCCTCAGGGTGGAGGACCCAGACCAAAGAGACATGGATGCTGAACTCTTGGATGCATGAATACCTCTTAGCTGCTTAATCTTTGTATTCTGATTTGGCGTATTTTAATATCTAGAAAAGTTGTATGTGAGCACATGTGAAAACAGTAGTCTAAAAATAGCAAAGACTAGAAATCCATTTGAAACAGACCTCAGATAGGCATCTCACGACTTTCAAGCAACATGTTTTTCATGTATGTTACTCTTCATTTGATTTTTTAAACACAAATTCATTCTTAATTAATATAAGAGTTTGCATTCAAAAACATTTTTTCTCCCTATTCATTTCTGATGGGCTTGTGGAAACAGAATTTACACAGTCCAAGCAAAAGGTGAAATTTGAACTGTGTCCTTTTTATTATGTCCATTAGAGGGATTGTGAGACAGTGTGAACTCTATTAGACACATTGTTATACAAAGTCCTATAAGACACATTGAGAGACAGTCTCACCTTAAACCCTGTTTTACTATATATCCTGGCAGTTCTTTAAAAACATGCATGTGGTCAGAATACAGACAAGTTGGTTATTGGGTTTCTTTTTAAAGAGATCATAGTGGTGTAGATGAGGACTGGCAAGCAGCTACCTGTAATGAATATGAAAGCAGTAGCCTAGCTTACCAAGATAAGGCTGAAGGACCCACCTCACACAGAATACCAGTAAGCACAACCTCTCTAGCCAGGTTTCTTCGGAATGTGGGAAAGGACTGGCATAGGCAGCTTCTGACTCACACAGGGATTCCCAATAAAACAAACAGAACTCAAGTCCCTAAAGGTTAGGAGAGAAAGGACTTTGTACACACATTCCACGCTGTGTATACCACCAGTGACTTCTCCAGCAGCAGATACAGGTCCTCCCTTTCTGATAGTATATGATTGCTTAATGTTAATCTAGCTAGAGTCTGGATCATCTCAAAATATCTAACATCAGTATTAATAAAGACAAGCATATCCTGTTTGTTAAAAACCACAAGCAAGAATATTTTTTAATAATCTTAAACTTTTGAAGGATTTAATTTTAATATATAAGTGATGCATAAATAACTGAATTTAGTAACCAAAACAGTCATGGCTTACTTGACTGTGATTCTAGCAGCTGTCTGTGATAATGCACAATGCCAAATATCTTCATCTGCCAGTGCAGATTCTGCAGAGGATTAGTGGGAAGTACATCCTTGAAAAATCACATCAAAGTCTCAAAAAATTCATGTTAGGCCCTGGCTTGGAATATTGCACGTTCCAGTCTGTGGATTGCATGGTTTCAGTTTATATTCTAAATGGTAAGCTCATACTAAAGAGACAAACTAAGCAGGCTTTAAAATGTTGTGGGTGATTTTAAAGCATTGATTAATTTTATTCTGATTATCTTTATTCAGGTACTGTAGAGAATCTAAACTTTAAAATTCAGTAAATAACTCTGAAATGGCTATTTTAATTGTATTTCTCATTGTTTCCAAAATAGCTGTCAGTTTAGAACTCTTACTCAGTAAATAGAATATAATAGTGTTTCCAGTTAGGATATATGTTTTCTATAATCAAACAAAATTAATTTTACCATAATTGTTAGGGACTCTTTTCAGAAAACTATCGTAAACATCACTAAAGAATGCCATACCATTTTCGCAATAGACCCCGTCCCAGCAAAGCAACATTTTAGACAATGGACAAGAAGATGTCTCTCCTAGTGGCCAATGGAATCCTTACCCACTTGGGAGGCGGGATGTACCTCCGGACACCATTACTAAAAAGGTAATCAATGTCAAGTTGACACAAACCATGAACCTCACACATTCATCATAATATGTAGTCCATATCTTGTGTCTTAACATCATTTCTAACTTCATGGTAAATTCAGGCTAAATATTCTGCCACTCTAGGGCTTCTGGTCAACTGTCAATGCATTGAAAAGAATGGAAATAGACACAGCCTGGTGCTCAATTAGTAATGGCTGCATGTAAATAGCCTTCCCCTCTGCAGATTCACTATTTGGAAGAGTACCTTAGGACACACTTTGAGGTGCGGGCACAGAAAGTTGTGTTGCATACACTTCACTTAGCCTTGGCTTCAGCAGTACACATAACCAACATCCATAAAATTATATTTACCATTAAAAAGGTCGAATTGCCACATCTAAAGTCATAACAGTGAGATGCTTCAGCATGTAAAGGTGCTTGCCTTCAAGCTTGACTACCTGATTTTGATTCCCCAGAACCCACATAGTAGAAAGAGAACCAATTCCCACAAGTTGCCCTTTGGCCTCCACTCATGCTTTATGATACACACATGGCTACACATGTACACACATAAATCAATCAATCAATAAATACATTAAAAATGTTTAAAGTTGTTAAAGTTTGTCCAGCAAGCACTCACTGAGCAATAGTGCACACACTGCATGCAAAGCACTTCCTGGACTGGAGAAACAAAGATGAATCCAAGCCTCTAAAAGGTTTTAGCCTAAACCGCTAGTGTCATTCAAGGTCATGTCCCATTTACCAGAAAACGGAACGAATTCAGTTGTCTGTCAGCAGGAAAGTGTAATTTCTGCTGCTTGCACAAAGGAATATTTCACAGAACTAAACAGTGAGTAAATTTGGTTATGATAGTGGGCAAAAGTCCTAAAAACAAAACCAGAAAAGTTTTCAGGAGATGATCCTGAGCAGGACTAGATTTATGCAGGTCTAAGACTTGAGAAAAGTCATTTTTGTGAGGACATGATAAACATTGTATTTAGAATTATGCAAACTTCTAGGGAGAGCACTGTGGGAGACCCTTCCACCCAGCTGTGGCTCTTACACTACAGTGTTGAGGCTCCAGTGACATCACATTGTAACTATACTTCATAATTTACGTATACTGTAACCTAGGTAATTTTTCCCCCTGGTAAGTTTAGTCAGTTTTAAAGATATACATTTTTCCCCAGAACTGGTGAGTTGTTACCTCCAGACAGCACCTATGCCTTGGACAACACCCAGCACTTGAGCAGCACAATGAGATATGCTGTGAAGGGTTGCAAGCTGCGACCATTCCTAGAAAGGACGACATTTAAAGGAAATAAAGGGAGCTGAGGAGATGGGGCATAGTGTCCAAAAGGCTGGATAAATAAGCAGAAGTCAGATCATGTGGGCTGCATCTTGTAGGATATGAAAAAGGGAACATGGAAGTATCTTCAAAGGGAAATGGCAGGATGCAATGTTCATTTAAATAGTTCTCTGACAGGTTTTCAGAGAACACACTGCAAAGGACAGAGCTTAGAACCAAAAAGCAAGCTAAGAAGTTCCTCTGACTATTCAGAGGAAAAGATGGAAACATAATTTATAGAGAAAAAAGCTTAGATGCAATAGAAACCTGACAGGTAGAGCCAGGAGTATCTTGTGAAGAACCCGTTCATGTAATCAGTAAACAAATTGGGATTGAGGCAAATTAAATGTACTTTTTTAAAAGAGTCAGTTATGTTATCTTTTCTAGGAAATCAATGTAGCAATGTCTTTTTCTGTGATGGGGAAATAAGAATGAATATGTTAGGGCTGGAGAGATAGATCAGCAGTTAAGAAGATGTACTGCTCTTGCAGAGGACCTGAGTTCAGTTCCCAGCAACTGCCTGTAATTCTAGCTCCAGAGAGATCGAATATCTCTGGCCCACTGTGGGGCCCTGCACATATATGAACATGCCCACACAGAGACACGCATGCCCATAGATATATTTAAAATATTAAATAATCATCTCTAAAAGAATAAATGTATTAATTGGGTTTACCATGTCTTTTTACATTGTTATTAACATGAGATAGAGACATCCTAGAGAAGAGAATTGCAGAGTGTTATAGACAGAAATGAGAGAGAAGGGAGAGGGAAAGGGAGTGACCTGCTTGTTAAACAAGAATTATATAAAGTCCAAAATTCTACAAGAATAAGTAAGACTCTACAGAGGCAGCTACATTGTAATAGCTGAGTCAGAAAGGTAGTTTTGAAGAAGTAATAATTTCTCTCTTTACTGATGCATTTCAAATATTTGTTTTGGTAATCCAAAAGACTAGGATGATGTAGCCCTATTGATGGCTTTTAATGTTAAGTAGATTGTACAAAAATTTTAAAAACTTACTTTTTATATTATATAATTACAGTTATTCTCAAAAGTGATGTGGATAGGTGCTTGAGAAAACATAAACCAAACATTCTTCTTCTGAAGAAGGGGCAGGCAAACGGCAGGTGTTTAATGTGACAGTCTTAGCCCTGGGTTCTTACATGGTATGTAATTATTCTTAGCAGAGAACATTTATTTATTTCCTGATGCCTATGTGGCCATGCAGTAGCCATGAAGTCAGGGGACCCTTCTTGTCCCCACTGACTCTGAATTATCCCTTTAATAAAAGTCCAAACCCAAACATTATCTATAGATAGCTATCAAGTCAGTGGTAGAAAATAAACTTGTCAGATTAAAGCAACGGAAAGAGTCAGGTTAAAACATATTACCCATCAGTCTTTGTTCCATAAAGCAAATGATTACCCTTCTTCAGAAATTTGAGATAAAACAATCACATTCACATTATGTTTGCTTTGAGAAAAATCTAGAAGTAAAAATATAAAATTAACACCACACCACAAAAATGCCCATGGCCAACCATGTAGCCAGAAGACATAGATAGCATAGCAACTGGGGGTCACGGGAGTCAGTGTCTTGTCGTGTGGTTATTAGCCTTCTCACCCCATTATGCATACATTCTTAAAAACATTAAGGTGGAAAGAATGACTCATAGCTTGTATCTCTGTTGCTCATGTCTCCTATCTCATCTCTGTTGGGGTAATGTGTGACAGTGCCATCAGAAAACATTGTAGGTTTAAATGAATAGATATGTACTGACTTTTGCCACATCCCACTCTTAAGATTGCTCCATTGTTTTCCCCCTTTTTTAAATAACTTCCAATTCCATTGCTGTGTTCTGTAGATTGACGTTTAATAATAGAACAATGTGCTGATAGATATTCAATAAGACAGAGATGATTGCCCTCACATCAGCCAGCTGCTGCTGGGGCACCAAAGTGAGAAGCTCTGTACCTCACATTTCATCTGTCATTAGAGACAGAGTGGTGTGTCACCTGCATCTAACTAAAACCTGAAAGATCAGCCAGACCTGTGAATGCCCCTCATACTGTAGGCATGCTACCAAGCTCTGTGAGGCAGTACTCTAGCACCCAAATGTGAGGACAGGTTTGGACACCAAGTACAAATTAAAGAGAAGACATCGTCTTCTTAATGTTAGCTTTATGGAATTGTCATAATCGTGAATATGTGCAGTGTAGAGCAGGCACGGTAGTGAAGTGTTTGACAGGAAGTCTCGCGTCTTCTTCACAACTTTAGGAAGTAAGGAAGTGACCATATGGAATTGAGGAACAGGAATTAGAACCCAGCATTGTCCAAGCATACAGTGTGCTCCTATTTCCCTTGGTATATATTCACTGTGCTTCGTGATGGATTAAATATGGACATGTATTTTTAGCATACCCACACATGCCTTCCCCAAACTCCTCCCTTTCCCAAGAGCCCCATGGGCCCTACACAATTTTGTTTCCACTTGCATGGCATATAGATATCTACGATATTATGCATCTGTATAAAATCTAGAAACCAAAAATGAGAGAAAACATTCCTACTGAAAGCATGTCTGTTCCATATGGCGGAAAAGGGAATCATTTATTTATATATAAAACACATTTTCTTTACCCATTCCCATTACTGGATGCCTGGGTTGGTTCCTTAACTTAGCTGTTGTAAATAGGGCTGCAAAAAGCTTTGATGTCCAAGAACATGATATGTCCACTTGGATTCTCTGTTAGCACTCATGAGTGGTACAGCTGGACCATATGACAGATCTGTTTTCAGTTTCCTTAAAAACCTCCTTACTGACTTCATAGTGGCTGAACTAGTTTAGATTGTCACCAGGGTGTATCTGGGACCCCTTTGTCCACATCATTGGTATGTGTTCTTATGTTAAATGGCTCTCATTCTGACTGGGGTTAGGTGAACTATCAATGTAGCTTTGATTTGCATTTTCTTGAAGGGTAGTGAGGGTGAACAGCCTATTTTTTGGCCATATCATATTCTGAGAGCTGTCTGCTCGTTACATTGGTCCCTTCATTGACTTGGTTGTTTGATTTCTTGTGATTTATGTCTTTCATGTGTTCTTTAAGTATTCTAGTTATTCTGTCATGTGTATAGCTGGTGGAGTTTGTTTCTCATTCTCTAGCCTCTCTTCACTCATTTGTTTCCTTTGCTGTGTAGAATACTTTTAATTTCATTTTTCTATTGTTAGTGTTATTTTCTGAGCCACTGGAGTCATTTTCAGAAAGTCCTTGCCTATGCCCAGCACCTCCAAGTGTTTAGTGTTAAAGCTCTTTGCTTCGAGGATTTTCTCTACTGTCACTGAAAGGAGCTGTTCATGTCTCTGTCTAGCAGGTGAATTTGGTGTTATGACTCTCCCTCTTATCTGTGCTTTAGCTGTATCCCACAGAGCTTCATATATCATATTTTCATGTACAGTATTTAATGTACTGTTTTACTTGCTATAGGCTTCCTCACTGGGCCTGGACTATTCAGAAATGGGTTGTATACAGTGCTTGGATAGTGTCCTTCCATCCTTCTTTACCGTCATATAATTAAATGAATTGTGGTTGGAGACCATCTTCTGTGTGACTTCAGCCAACTTGTTGAGAGTTGTTTTCAGTTCAGGTCACCTGGACAGATTCCTATA